AAAGTGTTAACACTGGAAAAATACGATACAACGAGTTGATTTAGTTCCTCTCTGCGAGGCATACAATTCACCACTTAATACAGAAAATTGCTTTGGATTTGTTCAACGAGCAATTTCATTTGGACAAATGCTCCCTTTTTGGTCGGATAGATTTAGCTGTATCCACAAAACAGGAGATTTGTGATGATCCCGGCAAATATATGGCGGCGATATGTAAGTATGCAGCCCGTAAGAGGAGGAAGAATGGGGAGGGAAAGTGTGTGGGTGCAATGCTACTTGGCAGATTTGTTTTCTGTAGTGTTTCACCTCAAAGTGTTTCCACTTGAAGGAAATGGTCAAATTTAAGGCATGAATGGGTCTCAAAATAGTTTACAGATTGCTGATCAATTTAAAATCTCACAAATTCCGAAATCCTCGCGAGAGAGGGAACCCTCCCAACTTGAGACGTTTACTAAAATATAGATTAGGTTTATTTATGTGTAGTGATATATAACAATGGAGGTCTCCCAGCGTATGCTCTCCGATTTTAAGAAAACTAGTGTAAATCGATCACAAATTTAATTAGTATTAAATTTGCAAATGGCACGATCTGCCTGTGCTCAGGTTTTGCGGAGATATTTGCATCCGAATCGGAGAAAGTGCGCAGTAAATCTGGGAAGTGCAAAATTTGTAAACTTTGGTGCGCGCTTTCTCCTCTTCGGATGCAAATATCTCCGCAAAACCTGAACATTGACAGATAGTGCGATTTGCGAATTTCATACTAATTACATTTGTAATCAATTGACACTAGTTTGCTCAAAATCGGAGAGCATACGCTAGAAGACCTCCCTCCCTAGTAAGTCGAATCATGATTGGTATCATTGGCGTCTGTGCGTATGTATGTACATATGTAAACACACGAGAATATTAAGTAGATATCTATGTACGTACAAAACTGGCACAAAACATTAAACACGGTTATCCCACTTTATCCGGCACAACATAACATCACATGCCCACCATCGTTCCCTTAGGTAGAAGCTGTTTAGCAAAAGTGCTCGGAATAATGGATTAGGATTGTTGGCGGTGATGGTGTGGCTGGCTAGTGGAGAAAGTAAGTAATTTGTATTCCAGTGCAAGGCTGTCGTCACAATGATTTACGGAACTGAAATGGAAAAGCCGGAAAGACAGGACAACTACGTTCATACGTATGCTTTCCCCATTGCTTTCGCTGCTGAGATATGTGCGGGGCCGGTCTGTAGAAAGCAGAAAGCAGAGCGTGCTATAACCACATCACATTGAAAACTACGCAACCACAAAACCCAAAACAAATGACTTTTGTTACATTCACAATATTTATGTCGGGTTATTCCTCCAAACAACACGGGCAAACATATGTGTGTACATACGAGATGAACACCGAGCTGTGAGAATTGAATGGGATGAAAACACTTTCACCCAAATCTGTGAGCAGATTTTGGTTGGATTGAGTTGATGTGCGATGTGGTGGTTTGTTCGACCTGGAACGTATATCTTGCTGGTTATGATCAAAGGGTGGATATGCATTCATGAAAAACTGCTATAATATGTATTAAAGGGAAAAACACCAAAATATGCACGAAATGCGCACGGAAAAATAGCATAAAAATAAGAATTTTACAAAATTTACATTTTTAAACTTTGTAAATTTTGTGTGGTCAAATCTTTTTAGCAAGGAAATTCGTTGAAATATTTGCAAAATATGTAAAACATTTGGCTATTTTTTTTAAATATCCACTCTAATAAAGCGTTAGTGTTAAGTCGCTGACTGAGTCCCTGTGGCTCTCAATGCAAGTTGCCCCGTAGAGGAGACAAAGAGGAAAGCGGAGCAAAAACTGCATGCATGAATTTTCTGCACGAGTCTCACTTCGCCTGCACGTGACTTTCGCGTACGTACACTTGCCATCAAACTCAAATTAAATGTTTTAATATATAAACACAGTGCGCAAGTAAATTGAGTGTGCAGTATACATACATACATCACATCACTCATCAATAGTGGTTATCATGATAAGTGATCTTGATAAACACTATTAATTAATTATTTTAGTTTGAGACACTCCACCTGCAACGAGTGGCATATCAATTCGAATGTATTTTTGACGCTAAATCCAACGCCGTTAATGGTTTTGACCTCCGAGGCCCGCGTGACCTTCCCGTGACCGTGGGGGGTAAATATGGCTTATTCGTGATGTCGCATATCAATTCGAATGTATTTTTGACACTAAATCCAACGCCGTTAATGGTTTTGACCTCCGAGGCCCGCGTGACCTTGCCGTGACCGTGGTGTCCAAATATGGCGTATTCGTGATGTCCCATATCAATTTGAATATATTTTTGACGCTGAATCCGAATCCGTCAATAGCTTGGCGTTAATTGTAGAAGCTAACGGGGTTTATGGAACTTAACGGGAGCGTGAAGCGTGGGAATTTAAATAGTTAGCTATGCAGTTACTCCCACGCGACGGGAATTTAAGTAATTAGCTATTCAACTACTCCCACAGGGGGAAATCAAATTGTACTGTGACCAGATTAATTAAAATGCAGCATGACTTGGGCAAACCCTCACTCTGATGTATGCATGTGGTATGACAAAGTCTCCAGTGGGAGTTATTTAAAGTATAGTATGACGAATTTTTCGCTTTGGGCACACCCCCCACTGGAACCCTAGAACCCGGCCTTGGCCGGGCTATACGCTAGTATTTAATATTTACGAAAACAAATTTACAAAAATACACCTCTGTATGTACTAAAAACACGAATTTCAGAAATTTTGTCTAACGTCGTTGAAATATTTACAAATGTATTTGTTTTTGAAAAATATTTGTCAAATAATAGCCGAAATATTTATAAATATTTGTATGTTTGAAAACCTCGAAATATGTAACAATATGTAAAAACATTTTGAAATTTTTGTCCTCTATGCGAGTTAGGGAACACACCCACAAAGTTTGACCGTCGGTCGTCATCAAACGAAGAAATTGAAAATGCATACATAACCGATCTCTACTTATGATGCTACGTGTGATAATAAGTTTTGCTGCCGTGTTGTAAATCCTAGTTTTTGAATTTAGGTGAAATTACTAATGTGTTCAGTGTGGTTTGGTTTCATTTCATTTTATAAGGCAACTTTCGAAACTATTTATAACCTGGGTAGGTATATAGGTGGGCGAATTTTGCGCAGTTTCAGCATGGCTTCATTTCGCAAACAAGTTTCAATAGGAGATAATTAAAACTTTTATTTTATTCTATTTCATCAACTTGATCAACTTTCAATTAAAATTAATTAAACCAATTAGTTTGTCCAAGTTTGAAATGAATCTATTCAAAGTTGCAAAATCAGAGAGTTATGCATGTTGATCCTGGAAGAATGGAGGGGTTTGATTGAGGGTGGAGGAAACTTGACTTTCTTTCAGTTTGGTCTCATAATCCGCACTCCTCATTTCATAATTGACTTCACAAGAAGGTCAACTTTCCCAAATAATCGGATTAAACTTTTATCTTGGAGGGGCAACGGAGAGGAGGATTTCAGAACCAAGCTCATTAAATAGCCTTGAATGGGCTCATCAACCATTTAAGTGAGCGAGATGAAAAGAACTTGTGCATGATTTTCAGGGTGAAAATGCAATCTAGGAAAACAAATTGCATTACAAGTAGATATCTAATTACAGAATCTGGTGTGATACATATGTGCTGACATTTGGAACTCGCAATAATTGAAGAGCTGATTAATTTTTTGTGAGAAAATTTTAATCATGCAAATACGACATTTAAAGAGTATGACTTCGGTTAAACAAGCCTTAAATGTGTAGGTATTTTAAATTTAATGTGCGATAATTATGAATTAACGCTGTATGGAATTAGTACATTATAATAAGTTGCACAAACTATTACACGTATTTGGAACTTACAAAATTTTTAAAAACTAACAAGTCGTTTGCAAATCTTGAAATTGCGAAAGCTTTTTTTTTAAAGTAAACCTTTACTTCGTGTGATGTAAGAAAGATTTAGCCCTTCGTGGCTAAAATTTGATGTCAAGCTAATTTCGAAGACCATGAGTCATTGTCCATGACCAATATTATTTTAATAAAGCGCAATTTGTGTTATGTATTAATTACTTCATGTATATTTGTAAAATGTAAAATTTCAGCTTCATCTGTTCAACTTGAACGCCAAAATCCGAGTTACAGACGTGACGATTTTATTTAATTCGTGGTGGTGGCACTCATCGCTGAGTCACATTTTGGACCACCATTTTTTATTCCGTCTTCAATTTTTTCATCTCATCATCATTCTCACTCACTTCAGTTTTTTCGCAAGTCATTTCCAAAAAGTTCTGCTCCATATTCAATTAAAATTGTAATTCTCGAAGCAGCACCATGATGTCAAAGGCCGATCAATCCGTCGCTGGACCTTCTCACGCCGGAAATAGTAGCCAGGTCATGGCTGACACCATCTCCCCGACCTCGACGATAACAAGCAAAATCAATTCGCATCAAAAGAGAACGGAACCTGAGGAACAATTTGTGGTGTATTTGAGCAGTGACGACGAGGATGGGGAGAACGAGATCGAGGAGAGGAAAATGGTGAGGAAATGACGACTTTGAAGTGGTCCCTAATAATTGTGCAGTATTATTTATTGTCCTGTTGTTATCATTTTTCCAGAAAATAGTTGACACACTGATGGATATTAAACATTGGGTTCAAATAAAGAGAAAATCCTTCGCAACAAACAACCCTGCCGTACCGGTGAGATTATACTGTTTCATTTCCAATTTATTCTGTATCTTTGAAGTTGGAGTCCAACTGTTGGACTCATTTTGCCTGGTTATCATTTTGTGCAGATTTCCGAAGAGGCTCGGATTGCCAATCGCAAGTTTCACAACGTTGTCACCGCGTTGGACGACCTTGTCGACGTTCTGGACGAGAATAGAGCCCAGCGTAATAAACGAAAAGTCGCAACAGCAACAGTGCCAGAAATAGTTGACTGCGATCAAGACGAGGAAAGGGCGACAATTCCGGAACCGCCAGCCACACCGAGACCGTCAACTCCAACACCGCCTGTCACTCCACCAAGGTCAATCTCAAAGCAATTTGCAGCTCAGAGAAAATCAAGGCCGACTGGGAAGCGAAAAATCAAACGACTCTACCAAACTCAAGTCTACCTCTGGCAGAAAAATGGTAATCTTTTCTTACATATTTAATTCTAAGTATTATGTACTATTAAATAATAAGGGATTACTTGTGGCTAGTCAAGAGTAAAAGATTAAAGGGTTGCATTATGCTTCCATTTGCCTGTAAAACACGCCTGTTTTCCACCTAGTAATTGACGAATTATATCCTTTGTCCAGAGTTCCAAAACTAAACGCCACCGCTGCAACATTTGTCGCAGAACGTTCTCCTCCAAAGCTGGCCTGACCCGTCACGGTTTCATCCATCTCACCGAAGAAGAGAAGACCGTGGTGAAGCAGAATTGGAAACATGTGTGTTTCTTTTGCCAGAAGAGGTTCTCCGCAGAATCTGATTATCATGTTCACCTTGTCACCCACACGAAGGAGAAGACATTTTGGTGCGACCAGTGTGGAAAGCAGTACTGCCAGAGGGGTCCTTTAGGGGTGCACAAGCGCAGCCACAGCGCCAACCCAAGACCATTCAATTGCGAAGAATGTGGCCAAGCTTTTACCACCAAGCAATCTATGCTCATCCACAAAAAATCAGTTCACAAGAAGCTGAAGGACGTAGACTGTCTCCAATGCCCCAAGAAGTTCAGCACCAAGGGGAACATGGTGGATCATCTGAACAGCGTTCACCTCAAAATTCGGCACCCCTGTCCCCACTGCAATAAGTCATTCTCAAGAAAAGGGAAGCTTAGAAAACACCTGAAGAAGATTCATCCCTAAAATGTATCCAACAATCCTTCTGCCAAATGAAGCTGCAGATCAACTAATGTTAATGTTGTCGAATTGGAAATATTGAAATATTGATGTCATTTAAATTTTTTGTAATAAGTTTTTTAATAATTTTTTTTAAGAAGTTAAAAAATTAAGTTAAAAGGTTAAAAAATTTGTTACTGGTGGAATAATGAAATCTCATCAAATAAAAAATTCTCATTAAATAATTCTGATCAGTCAATAATGTCTCCCCACTTTTGTGACAAATCGATGAAATCCAGCTTTTCTCCTCACCAAGTTTGCTTTTCCTCCTAGTGAAAATTCATTTTATTTTTTGAATAGTTTAGTTTCGCCTCGTAATCCTAGATTGATTCAAAGTTGCAATTCCCCGTGGCAAGATGCACTTGACTCGATCGCACTTGACTGCTCTGAAATTTGTTGCATCTTGACTTGAAAGTACTTCTGACGAAGTAGTATTTAATAAAGGGAGATAAATGAGCTCGATCGGTGTTTAGTTCAACTTTGTTAATTAATTAGGTTAAGCTGCAGTCACAACTAAGAAGGATAAGTTTTTGACGCTGATTAAAATCTTAGAATTGAAGAAGTAACACTAACGAATGCAAGTTTTAATTTCATGGATGACTTTGCTTTTGTCAAAATAAATATGTTTTGCCTTTCCGATGTAAGCAAAAAGCCGTGCAATTTGGGCATCAAAATCGTCACAAAATACGTATTTGCAATACGGAATTCGTATTACAGATGCGTTTTAAGTCTTGATATTTCATGATTTTATATTGGCAAGCATCACAAAGCGGAAAGCAAGAAACGACTAACTAACTTTATACCAATTTATCTTGAAATGTCACATTTTTTTAATTTTTAGCTTGACTTGTTTCTAATCAGCTTCTATATAATGAAATCTAAAAGGTCATTTTAAAAAGTGATCTATGTCTTAATTGAATTCCTCTCTGTGGGAGGGATTCACATTTCACGTCTCTAATGAACTCATTATTAGCATGAAAAGTCAAATTAATTTCATAACGTGATTACCGATGGAGGGGAAATGGATGGATCAAGATTGTTATGAATGCAAGCAAATTATGAGGAGGAAGGATAATAGAATTAAAAATCAGTGGAATTGAATCCTTGTGTTCGAGACGTATGTATTCAAGTGACGAAATTGTTGACTTTCTGGATTAACACGAACGAACCGAAAGTCTAACTTTTGATGAAGCCGTGATTCTCACCAAAATCCAAACATTCAAATCGTATCAGGCCAGGAATTCGGCGGCAGTGACCGCGGAAACCGTGGGGACATTTGGGGACATTACCATTGTAGGATAGGGGAGGGAGGGGTTTAAATAACATGGTCGGATGATGGGAACATCGAACAACCGTGGGGACAATGTTCCTCTGTCCCCACCCTTCCGCTGCCACTGATCTGAGGATAAAACTAATATTTTGAACAATTTCTCAGAAATATATTATTCACTCACTTTTGTAAATAACAACTTGATTCCGTGATTCGCATTTAATTCATCTCTCGTTTCACTAGTTTTTTTGCATTTCATTTCATTTTTTTGAGCCACTACTTAATTCTTTATCTTGTTTTAAGTACCGTATAATAAAACCGCATTAATAACAGGATCAGTTTACAGCGAGACGACTTTTACTCACTACTTATCTTTAATACAACTTAATTAAACCAGTCTCCCCAATTATCTTCTGTACTGCATTCTCATCTCATCTCATTTACATACAATCAGCTCAGAAAAGCAGGAGTGAAGAGATTCTGCATTGACACGGCTATAAATAGTGAGGAGCTAATTAGAATTGTAAATGGCGTTGCAACACCAGCAGCCAAGGAGAATCGCGAAGGTGCAGCGGATGAAGTGAGGGCAGAAATTTTGATTTCATTATAAAACGATTCAATATCCTGTAACAAGTTTTGAATAACTTTGTTGGATTCGGGGCTTCCACAGTTGGCAAATTTGTCTCCGATGCAGCCCGTAATTTTGTCAATGTTTCTGAAAAAAAAGTGAAATTATCATGATTTTTTTTAAATGGACGTAGAAAAATTTCCATACTTGTCCAACTCATCCTTCGTCATGGTAGACGTGAATGTTAAACAATCTGAAATTTCGTTCGTCAATTTCATCAAATGCTCGTTCAAGCACTTGTTGCCTCCTGACTCCCAAAATTCTGAAAATTGGGAAACAAATCTCATGACATGAATAGGAAACTTTGTTGAAAAGAGCTGGAGGAATCCATACATACCGACGAATTGATCTCCATCCTGGCAAATGGTATCTGTCAGTGCGAGCAAAAAATAAAAGACGAATTTCTGCTGTCTGCGAATCAAGAGAGAAAAAAAATGTTTTTCATGTGCACATTTCTTCGCGAATATTATTTTGATATGTAGGTCTTCTTCTCAGTTCTCACCCGTCAAAACATTTTTCGATCAATTTGAAGTTTCTCTTCTGACAAGCCCTCTTGACCGGCCAGTCGCCACACTGCTTGTTGATCTCGTTCTGAATCTCTTTGTGTCTCGTGGCTGGATCGGCTTCTTGGTGTGAGTCAATATTTTTGATTATCATTGCCGCCTGAGTGGGGTTACATTTGATGAACGTTTCCTAGAAAGAAATAGACACATTTCTTCATCCACCAGTGTTTCGCGTGCAAATAAGCTCTTGCAAAAAAGTGTTTTTTGCAACGATTTTGACCTGCAAGAAATGCAAAGCGCAAGAAACGACACCCCGTCGCCATATTTCATACGGCGCGTGGCTACATGGCGCATATTTCTTGCACTCTCTCCCAGTTTCTTGCACCTCGCATTTCTTGCATTTCTAGCTTTGCACTGTAAGAAATGTAGCAAACTCGCAAACACTGCCCACCACATTTTTGGGCAGTTACATAATTTATAATTTATAACTTCTTCTCACATATTCCTCCTGTTCCAGCGTCTGATTCTGTCTGTTGCAATGATTACTGAGGAATTTTCTCATCTTTTCCTGAATGCTATCATCTCCACTTGGCGAGGAATCTTGAGGGGTGGTTAGCACTTTGGTACAAAAACTTAACAAAACAAGTCCAACGAGTAGAATTTCATTTCTAAGCCTCCTGCTGGAAGAAGAAGTGCTACCTCGACAGAGCCCCCTAATAAATCCCACTTGGCCCATTTTAATTAGAATTTTAATCAACTTCTTTGCACTTTCATGGATCCATATAAAATCAGCGAGGAGTCCTTGTCGCCCTCCGTCTTGACTTTGGTTAAATTTAAATTACTTTGCTCCTTCAAACCCTAAATCTGGATCAGCACCAGCAGCAAATGCATGCACACTTTTTGACTTTCCAGTTTCCCAAACTTCAAAGTTATTGAAACTTTCCTTTTAAACAGTGGAATATTTAATAGGAAGGAGAACGACGTAATGAAAATTTGGAAATGACACTCGATTTACATATTAACACAACTTTACACTCTCGACAACCACTTTAGAATAAAGCTTGCGTAAATTATTTACTTGCAAAGATTTTAAAAACTACTTGCGAACACATTTCCGAAAATCTCGACTTCTTCATGAAAAAGATTCGTCAAGGAAGTCGAGATGCATACATATGCATTTACTTTCTTGCAAGTAGATATGTGTGTCACGTTAGTTGGTCACTCGTTGAGTACATAGTGGTCACTCGTCGTTGTTGATAATACGTACGAATTCCGGTTCCTTTGCGAGATGCAAGTTCACTTTTTATTAGTTTTGCCCAACTTCTCACTTATGCGAGGTTTCATTACCAGTGCCAGTCTTGTACTAAGGTTTGGTTCCTTGAAAGATTTTCTGCACGCTCTTTCTTCTTCGTCGTCGTCAACAATTCAACATCCACGAGTGATCACTATCACTTTGCTGCATGGGTTGGTGGTGTGGTGTGGTGTGGTGTGGTGATAACTAGTTCAGTTGGATGGATGGGGAATAGAATAATGAGAAAAAGAACGGTCTCACCCACCCCACTCGAAGATCACTTAACGCACTATCGAACCATTGTGTTAACTTTATCTTTCGTATGTATGAGACGACAAACTTCGATCAGGGGGTGAGTGAGACGAGGAATTGTTTTGTTGGAAATGTACCCCCTCCGTCAATAATAAATAATAAGGTAATGCAATACTGCAGTGATTGATGCTATCAGACAAATTGCCATTGTCAGGCATTCCTCCATACAGCACAACACATGTATTACAGAGGAAACCTTTACAATTTACATGTAATCTGTCTGTATACCCACAAAAACTGAAAGGTCTCAATAAATGAATGATTCCGCATGCAATTTTAGCTCACCTTGCGTGTCAGAAAGTCAAAGGTTTTGTTTTACTCGTGTTTTTTTTCTTCGTGGTCTCTATTTTATTCAAGTTTTAGGCAAATTTGAAGGAATTTGTTAATACTGATGTCTGTTGGAGGTCGGGATTTTTAAATGTTTCATGTGCAAGAGAGTACGTAGATACGTAATTTGTACCCCTCCCAATAAAACAATTAGGTATGTATCTCTGTTATTGAAGCGTTGGTTACGTTAAAGGTAAGCCTAATGGGTTTAAGAAGGTCGACGTCATTTTCTGCCATGCAACACTTAACAAAGTCATCATCACGTGGTGGAATTGGAAGAATAAGTATTTAAAGTGAATTCGATGGGATGTATGTAAATCTAACTTTTTCATGTAAACGATTTGTTCAAGAAGAAGAAGTAATTTTATTTGATTATCTGAATCTCATGTCATTACGAGTATGTAACTGCTGCCTCAGTGATGAGAAGAATTACTTGGTTCGCATCTGTAGAAAGTGGTTCGTTGGTGGTGTGGCGATGATGAATTATTTTTCGAAAATCATGTCCCGTTCACATTATTACGTTATTTTATTATTATGAAAACTTATAATAATGTTTATTATCGCGTAAAACTCGTGAGTTTGCGAATCTGTAAATACATAATCATCAACTTTTGACAATAATCAAGCCTCGTCAAGCATCATTTATAAAATTAATTATTATTGATCCCTTAATTACGGCTGTAATGCAGTAGTGGAAGCAAACACGTCACAAATAAATCAAGTCGTGCATGTGTGTAACTCTTGATTTTTCAAATTTCTCGTCCACGCTGCTTCCTGTTTGCACGCACAACGACGACAATTGAAACTTTTTTTCTTAATCAGCAAAATATAACTTTTTGTCGATTTCATCTTCTGAAATATTTTAGAGAGTGATTGAGCTGAGGCTGTACATACATAAACAAGGCTTGATACATACAGAATCAGATCTCGGCCTTTGTTCTTACTGATACATACGTTGAGGAGTAATTGGCTGGCAAGGATTACCTACGCTCAAGCAAACCACACTCTCGTTCGTTCGTTTATATTTGTAGCGTAGTGAGTAATTTGGTTCCTCATGAGCGATAAAATAATTGGGCCCATGTTTCGCATGTACTTTATTTGGTGAACAAGTCGTAATGTAGTGTGTAACCTTTTACTGTTTATTATCGTCGCCTGTCACTTGTAACCGGTGTCTTATTTTCTGTTCTTCTCGCTCCAATGAAAATAGGAGGACAATAATTTTGCGTAATCAATTTGTCAAGTTGAGCCCTTTAATAGCGATAAATTATTTTGTGGCTGAAATAATTGTGACTTTTACTGTAAAATTTAACTCTCGCTTTCATCCACAATTACAATTATGTACGTAAACCGGTGCTAAATTAGAAATTGTCATTTTCAGTCAATCACTATATATAAATACGACCGTTTGAGTTAAGTGGATCAGTTACTTACGCATTTAATCAGGTAGACATGCACGCTGTCATTTTCGCATTATGGGAATTATCTATTATGGAAAGTGAATTGGATGCTATATTGGTAGTTTTATTGCCAAAATGTAATTGGTCAATTTCAAATGGCATTTTTTTATGTAAGATTAGATTTTGCATGTGTGTGATGATCAATAGTGAAATTTAATAGGTCTTGAAAAGAAGGTATTTCGCATTTTTTTCTCGCAAAATCCGAAATAGACAGGCTCAGCGAAGTGGCGCGTCTTGGGGAGCACGATAATTCTACCAGTGGCTATTGCAGTGCTTTCTCAGAAAAAACCGGGATTTGGTGCCTCGTATCTCATATTAATGCTGATTTGTTGGAATTTTGCAGTCGAAAAAATTTGAAATTTGGCATTCATATTCATGAATATATTGTTAATCATAGTATATCATCAAATCCCGTTTGGATCGCTATAAATTTTTCAGGAAAAATCAAAAAAGAGTTTTTTAGGGTTTTTGATTTTTCCTGAAAAATTTATAGCGATCCAAACGGGATTTGATGATATACTATGATTAACAATATATTCATGAATGTGAATGCCAAATTTCAAATTTTTTCGACTGCAAAATTCCAACAGATCAGCATTAATGTGAGATACGAGACACCAAATTTCAGTTTTTGCTGAGAAAGCACTGCAATAGCCAGTGGTAGAATTATCGTGCTCCCCAAGACTCGCCACTTCGCTGGACAGGCTACAGGACATGGAATAGCAATCCGTACAAGATCGCTCATATATGGCTACAGGATGAATAAAATACAGCACAATGGGCGATGAACAGCATGGTAATTTAATCCCTGGGTGAATAAAGGACCATTCTCGAGGGAAGAATGGGAAGAAGACGCATCGAACGAAAATAAATAGGTCGACGTTTAGTATTTGAATCATGAATTTTTTAAATGCATGTGAGCTGAATATTTATTCTGATGATATTTGCATCCATCACATGCAATTCGCGTCTGCTAGTTGCATTGTGCAATGAATTTTTAAGGTGAGAAGATATTCTTATTTTGCATGATGCACATTTCAATAAGAAATTCTATACGGATGAGATGACCACTTATTTTATTCCTTGTTCTGTGTGTAATGATGATGATAAGTAAATAATCAAGTCATTAAATATAGCTGGTCGGTCTCTTATTTAGTTTTTGATTGTTTAATATTTAATTCATCTGTTCGTGAAACAAGGTAATAATGAAGGATTGGTCATAAATACTCCATAGTCAATCGTTTTCGTCTTTTTTTCTTATGTACTGACCATGACATTTTTTAAATTGCACAACGTCTAAAATCTAGTAATACTTTTGTGGAAGAGAGGAATTTACATGAAACGACGGCACTAATTTAGTGCGTAAAGTTAAGTAATCAACCAACATTTTATTTCCCACGATAGCGGACATGGCGCAGTTTTTGGGCATTAATAAATATTTAGCGTGCAAAATTCAAGGGTTTGTCGTTGGCAAATTCAGGTCGAAATATTTCTGCGTAGATTCGAGGTGTTATATGTATTACACTTACACACTCTAAAAATTTTCGACAGTCCAAGGTTTATCCAATGTTGACATTAATTTATCGAGTTTTATCAATAAACAGACATTTGCTAATTGCAGTGTAAAACAAAATGCTGAGACCGGCTTCTGTTTCACTTGATAGCTCAAGGCAAGGGCACGCTACTCGAATAATGCAGCAGGCACTCTCTCGCCCCAAAAAGCAATCAAGTAAAGTCAACAGTGAGTTGAGGTAGGCTTGTTCAGTGGCGGCGGAAGTTGGGGGGGACATGTGGGGACGTTAGCAGTTGTGGAATTGGAGGAGGAGGGACTTATTAACGCGATTTTGCCAAATTTCTGGGCCCCAGATAATCTGGGGGGACAATGTCCCCCCAATGTCCCCCCAATGTCCCCCTGCTTCCGCCGCCAATAGGTTTCTTGTCATAATTTGGTAGCGATTACATCTCGATGGAGTTCCTGCCTTGTTGGACGAGTTCTTGGTGGCGCACCCCTCCTCCTGCCTGATATCGCCACTGCGTTGCATTGATGCATTTCACTTTTACTGACAAAAACAGTCCGAGTGTGATTACGATGAGGACCAAAAGTGAGAAAAATGCGATATAGGCAAACCCTCCCGAAGTACAAGGCGTGTTGCTGTTCCCTCCAAGGGTGGCAAGGTCACCGACAACGGGGAATTTTTCAGAGTTAATTAACGTTAAGTTATAGCTTGTTAGGTAAACGTAGCCAGAACTTGAGTACGATGATTTCACGGCTTCGGCAAGTTTTTGAAATAAATTATCGCATTTGATCATTTCGCCACCGTGCTCGTTTGTTACACAATTTCTGTAGCGGAGTTGATACTTGAGACAGTTTAGCACCATGTTGATGTCCCTGAAAAGTACATAAATAAGTAGGTAAAAATGGGCACAATTTATTTGTTAGTATCAGAGTGCGGTTAGGGATTTGTTTTCAAGTTGTTCATTTGATGACTACTGAATGAGGATCAAACTTTGTGAATTTTTCCCTAACTTTAATAGATCAGAAAAATTTAAAAAAAATTATTCCACATATTGTTACATATTTCGAGGTTTTCAGACATATATGTACATAAATATATTTATAAATATTTTAGATATTTCTCAAAAATACATATACATCTTTTGTAAATATTTAAATGATACGAGACGAATTTTTTTGCCTCAAACAAATTCGACTACAAATCCGCAGTATATTCTGAAATACAATTTACCGAAATTTTTAAGTTTTTGTTCCCACGTATTTGGCGTTATAGTTTGCCGTTTTTTCGTAAATATTAAACATATATTTTGCGATTTTTTCCCAAATACATATCCGCCCTCTGACTTATTCTGCAATATTTTTCTTTTTAAAAAAATCATAAAAATTACCGTTTATAGTACTCCAGACTAATCTCGTTGAAACAGGAGACCACATCACGCTCATTGTACCACCAGTGACGCAAGTTTCTCCTGAGGATTACCAAATCTGAAAATTACAAATAATTACAACACATCAAACCATAACATGTCCGCATCGATCAACAAACATGCAATCGGTGATGATGATGATGTAGCATTATCATTATTGTTTTTCTGGCGACACGCAGCCTCGAAAAGGGCAGAAATTAAATCAAATCCAACCGAACTGGATGGAAATGTGAGGAAGCAGGAATCCACGAATTGCTCCCTCTGCCTCTCACAATCTCGCTGCGATGACCATGAAGATTCACACCAGGACTGAATCTGACCATGGAACTTGTCCGAGAATTCTTCACTCGTAATGTTTTCGGGTAGGTTGGGAAATGACAGGCCGGGTGGTTTTTGGCTGCTGCAGTTCAGAAACTATGGAGTGAGACATCAAATCTGAGTGAACAAGAAGATAACCACGATGCAATTTATGACTCTTTTGTTCTCACCAAGTTCTCTGTTGGACAGTATTTCGCCAAATAATCGCGTCTCAAATAGGCCAAGTCGTACTTATCGTAGGTGTCATTCCACCTCCCACGAACGCCCGAGAAAACGAGAAAAATTTGCAAAAACACGATGGGCAACAATTTCACTTCGACATTACTTTTTGGACACATAATTCCTCCTCGCAACATGAATCATTGCAGGCTTATTATTATTATTATGCAGGAATTTATTAAGCTGGAAAACATGCCGTGCCGTGCTTGCTATGAAGATGATGATGATGAAGTTTGTTTGCCCGAGTAAATATTATTTTGATTAAAATAATTTATGATCTGGAATAATCCAGCGCAGCAGCAGCACGGAATACTTATGAAATCGGAATGACAACACAATTCGAATTCACTGCAGTTCCCCAACCAGGATGCGGATGGATTATTACGACGGGACAAAAACTATTTGCTATTATACAACAAAAGCAAGCACACACTCGTATTATTAAATTGCTAACTGGATGATATTATCCCCTCTCTTCTACTGTACGTACTGGTGGTCTGGTTGATTAACCTCCTCATGCATAGATATTACTGCCTGCCTGCATTATGCACACTTTTGGCAATAAAGGTTTTGTTCTCTGCTATGTACGTGAAAGTTTAAAGCGTTAAAAACTTTTGGAGTAGAGACGAGTTCAAGGTTGCAATTAACATCTCGAGAGTCCGAGACCAATCTGTGGCGTAGTCCAGAGAAGTAAAATGTGCTGGAACTGTATGTACTTAGCTTGCATAAGAGAAGAGTCGTCTCATTCAATTCGACGACGACGACGATGATCATTCATGACAGCAAACGTGTGTATCCAGCTTGAACTAATCTCTGTATTCTTCTATTGTATTGTGTGTGTGTGGTTTGGTCGGTGTGTCTGTGGAGAGAGTAATCATGTCAAAGCATTAGACTTTTAGTTAAATACCTTTGTTATTATTATTACCATCCCGCCTGGAACACGGTTATTAATGGTGGATGGATGGATGCTTATGGTTTGGTTTGGTCGTTGTTATTCAAATTCTATTGTCTTCATTTAATTGTAGAAACAAATATTTAAGAGAAGTAATTTTCACTGTGAAGAATTACATACATAGTTTTATATATCGTATGAATGCATTATGTAACAGAAAATTCACGCTTTTTTAGACAGACGTACAATTAAGCGTCAAGATGCTATATTGTGTATTAGTAAATAACAGATCTAGTTTTGTATGTCGTCTCGTATGCATTATGTAACAGAACAATTCCCCCTTTTTGAGACAGAAGAGTAAAGATGTTATTGTGTAAATACCCCAAATTTCGTTCCTCCCACATTCCAGAGGATGATTGAAGATATCGTTAAACAGAGAAAATTACTTGGGACGGAAAATAATAATCGTAATGATTTGGACGAGCGGATGTTTGACAGGTTGCAGAAACTTTCGCCCAGAGAAAGTTGTTATTTTCAAACCCATCACGCAACCTCATCACCAGCCTTAATAAGTTCTTTCTCCACCAAAACCCCTCATCCACCTCCAGCTCCGAATCTGACAAACAAAAGAGAAATTACGCATTTCCAAATTTCCAGTTCACAGCTAATGGACGAACAATACGGGGGCTGGAAATACGGACCACGTCAACATCCCAGCTACATAAACAGCAACACAGTTTAAAAGGATGAGGAGGAAGTGTGGATGGACGAGAAAGATCAACAGGGAGCCGGTCGCTCGATGGGGGGTTGTCGCTGCGTAAAGTGAAAATAATGTTCATTTCACCATAAAGAATGAGCCCATCATATCCCATCAGAAATTCCTTTTATGAATTTATTACATCGCCCAGCACGGCTCAAGCCTCCTCTGATGATTGAATGAAGCAAAAGCATTCAATTCATTCACTCCTCTCAACGGCCGTGGTGGTGGTAGTGATGTGACGCAAAGGGTTGAGGTTTTTAGGGGGAGAACTTCTTCTGTATACATACACAACCTAATTGCAAAGTAATTAGCAATATCCTTTCTCCACTGCTGGACTGGTTTCACGAAATAAATGAAAATTTACATGTTGACGAACAAAATGGGGAATTCTTTCCGTCATCATCACCATCCAGCCACCCATGGTTTATTCGAACACGGTTTCTTTCACATGGCCACACAAAAGGATCCCATTACACACTTTAACAACACAAAGGATGACACAAAATTTGAGAATGGTTGACGACGACGAAATTAATGACCACTTTGAGTAAAAGTGTGGATGTGTACGTGCCGTTAAAACGGACCAAGTGGGGGTGGGTGGTGTGGTTTGTGTAGGATTCGTGCATATGTATGCGTGACTACGCTTTTGTTGGTCTGTTTGTCCGTGGGATGGATGATGGAGAAAGTCGAGTGGAGAGGGAGCAGGTGAAAGTGAAATGTTTCCATTAGCATGACACAAGTAGTTATGGGTGGAAGATATGTATTCATTTATGTATCTGGATCCCATCCCACAGGAAATTATGATTCATTCCCGGCATTACGGAGGACGAGGATTGCGTAAAGTGTCAGGTCAAGAATTTCTAGAGCAGACAACCACAAAATTGAAATTGAAATATCATCCAATCCATTGCAGCCGGATAATGATATGTCAACGAAATGTGGTCGGAAGAAAAAGTGAACAACACAGAGAAACCACGTTCCACACACCTAGAATTTCAGGACCAGACAGAAGAGAGGAAAAAAATACATTCCGGATCAGAATCCCGGATCAGATAGGATTTTCGTGTTTTTATGTAATTTCGATTTTTTGATGTGCATCTCAAAGGACGTGTCATTTTCGTTTCAATTATAAAACTGTCTCTGGGGAATATTCGCCTGTTTCGTGTAAAAAAATGTACATGGCTGTTTGCGAGGAAGTCTGGTCGGTCTGCTGTTGGTGACTGGGATGACCTCGATTTTATGTGTCGCATATAGTTGAAAACTGTCAAACCCATTGCTAACCGGGTGGAAGGTCTGGCTGGTTGGCTGCCTACGTGATGTGACATCTCAAGATTTTTTCGATAATATAAATACACACACCAGCTCGATTTCCGCTCGGGACAAAATATTTGCTATGCAGGGTTGGATAATTTTAAGGAACTGGTGGAAAGTGCTGGGCAGAAAGTGGTATCCATATTTAATACGCATAACTGGCCACCTTTTTCTGTTTAACCCCTATTTTCACATGGTCAACATGAGATATTTCGTCCGCTCTCCTCACAACGGAGGTCTTCCAGCGTATGCTCTCCGTGTTGGGGATGACGGCTCCCAACGAGCAGGGGGTTTGTGTGAGTGATTAAAATGAATGTTCCCTGATTATGGGTATTGAAATGTGTGCAAATATGTGTGTGGATCGGTGAGAAATAAGATGGCAATGTGAAGTACTTGATTGTAGTCAGTTTATGCAAGTTATTAAATTCATACAAATTGAGGCAAATTGAGATTAGGAAAATAGACTGACGTGACCTGACTGACTTGGACAAATTGTGTAACCAGAATGACAACGAGGAAAAATATGTAACTTGTATTTATAACCTATGGTAAGTAAATGAGCAATTAAGTATGTAAAATTAGACCTTCTGGAAAGTTACTGTCAAGGTAAAATAAGAATACTTAGAACTCGGGTTCAACTTATTAGTCACAATAGAGATTAAAGGAAATGAACTCGTACACAATTACTCAAATGAAGTTACATGGGTAACTTAAATGTAAAATACGATAAGGAATGAACTCAAGTCAGTGCACAAAATTACATAAATAAATAAGCATAGCATAATGATTATAGAAGGTTATTTTGGATAAAACTTGAACTAAAGTTTAAAACTGTACGAATCCCAACATTCCGGCCGGGTTGAAATAACTATTTCAAAAATAATTACAAAGTAAGCACTAAATCGTCGTCTTGATTGGGGTCGGATGAAGGTACGGAAAGTGGGCAAATTTTCACGATGGGGCGTTTGATTTCACCGTTGGATGTCTTGAGGGTGACGACTCGAACGATTGAATCGGGTCCAGGATGAAGGGCGAGAACGCGTCCGAGCTTCCACTTCAATTGGGGGAGGTTCTCATCTTTGATAAGTACCAGTTCACCAACTGATATCTTCTTGTTTCCAGCCATCCACTTTGGGCGTTGTTGTAGGCGCGTGAGATATTCTGCAGACCAGCGTTTCCAGAATGACTGCATCAGTTGCTGCAGCAGTTGCCAACGGGATAATTGATTTTGCTTGATGTGGTCGAGTGACGGTTCAGGGATTGCAGTCAAGGGGGCACCGATTAAGAAGTGGCCTGGCGTTAAGGCAGCTAAATCCTGGGGATCAGTGGATTCTGCTGTGAGGGGTCTTGAGTTAAGGATTGCTTCTATTTGGCATATTACTGTCGTCATCTCTTCGAAGTTGAGGCGTTGCAAGCCAATCACTCGGCGGAGGTGGTACTTGATAGATTTCACTCCTGCTTCCCAGAGTCCTCCAAAATGGGGAGAGGCAGGACTATTTAGATGCCAGGTTATTCCATCAGTTGACATGTAATTTGCAATCTTGTCATTATGGGATTTTGAAAGGAGAAGTCTCATGACATCCTTCATCTCGTTCATGGCTCCAACGAAATTGGTACCGCAGTCACTGTAGACATCGGTGGGTCGACCTCTGCGGGCAATGAATCTCTTCAGGGCGGCGAGAAATGCCTCAGTAGTTAAGTCACTCACGACTTCTAGGTGGAGGGCACGAGTTACACAGCATACAAATACTGCTAAATACGCTTTGATTGTGATCTTGCTTCTTTTGAGTAGGGGCTTGAGCATGAAGGGTCCAGCGTAGTCCACACCACATTTGAGAAAGGGTCGGGATTGATTGACGCGAAATGCTGGGAGGTCAGCCATCACTTGCTGCATGGTGCTGGCTCGTTGTCGAATACAATTCACGCACTTTCGTGTAAAGTACCGAATAGCGTCCCTGGCTCGGATGATCCAAAACTGGCGTTGGATCACTGCCATCATTAGTTGAGGTCCGGCGTGAAAGTGTCGGATATGGGCGTCTTGGATGATGAGGTGGGTTAACTGGCCATGATACGGAAGGAGAATTGGATTTTTCTGGTCTGGAGAAAGTGATGAGGATTTGAGACGACCTCCAACACGGATAACACCAGTTTCGTCCAGAAATGGGGAAAGGGAGAGAATTTTGCTCTTGCTGTGGAGTGGTTGTCCTTTCTTCAGTTGTTGAAGAATTGTTGAAGAATTGTTGAAGAATTGAAGAAGTTGTTGATAAATGACATGATCTCGCAATACGCAGATTTGACGGAGATATTTGCATCCAAAGAGGAGAAAATGCACCCAAAAGTTGACAAATTTTACATTTTCCAAATTTACTGCAGGCTTTCTCCTTTTCATATGCAAATATTCCTGCCAATTTGCAGATAGTGTCGATTGCAAATTTCATGCTCCTTAAATTTGTAACCGACTGACACTGGTTTGCTCAAAATCTGAGAGCATACGCTGGGACACCTCCATTGTCAGTGTTACATATTGTCAGCGTGTTGATTTAATTGTTTTGTTCCTCATTGGCACATGTGTGGCCCAACAATACGTGAGTTCAAGTCAAGTAAAGAGTTTTTGGTGCGTGGATCGCTTCGAGTAGAATTTTCTAATAAAATGTAGCCATTAATTATCTCTCTGAGAGGGCAACACAACAAATAACAATTCCCCAGTGAATTGTTGGGCGAAATATGGGATGAAAACCTATGACATATGGACACTCTGACAGAACTGACTCCAGTGATAAATTGGTTAAAATAAAATTCCGAAATGCCATCCTCCTCCTCCTCCTCACACATTTATTTCACGTTATTTGTGGGCCTGAGAATACTGCGGAAAGTGTAAAATAAGCTAATAAAAGTTTGCTTTGTGCGTATTCCAATATTCAATCAACTTATGCAACTGCTTATCTATTAATATTCGCAATCAAGAAAACACGGATTTTTATGGCAGTGCGAAATACTTAATTCCGATGAGGAAAACCAGGAAATTTGCTTGACCATTCCGAGAAAAAGCAATATAAATAATGGCAACATATTGTGACACGCTATTTATCACGTGGCGATTGATCATTCATCATGTTGTCTCTTCCCACTTATTTATTTTGTGGCTTTAGTAAAAAAAAATGTTGCATATTTATCCATACGTGTAGATAAGCACTGCATTAGAGAGATGCATACATAGTCCAGCTGTACTTTCTCCAAGTTTTCATTTTTTCCGTACATGGCAAAGGTTATGTTTTCATCGGACGGAAAAAAGTGACACGAGTTTTAACGCCAAAAAGGAAGACGACAAACCAGAACCAGGCCGTCAACTATTTTCCTGTTACATACTTGAGAAAGAGCCAACCACCGCTTTGCTTATGTATTCCTTGACTTTACATGTTTCTCATGAATTCATAATATCATGATAAATTCGAAACATTAGCCAAAATCCGTGGTGAGTGAGTGAGAGTGAGGTTAGCCGCAAGCTTAAGGAGGAGCAAAAAGCTTTTAAGAGATGAAACTCCTCTGGACGTATCCTTCCTCGTTTAGTAACTTGTGCAAGTCTCTTCATTGGGTGATCTTTAGCCAAACTGTGTGCTAATAATGAGACCAAATCAAAAACTTGTAGGAGTAATTGTAGAAATATTTTAAGTAATTATTCAGAAATACATAGATAGAACATAAAACTTGCATTTAAAACTGCAAATACCACACGAATAAAGACAGACTGATACAAAATAGAATTTGTGTTCCCCAAAATTGAGTCCAAATCAAAAACTTACATAAGAAATTGTACAAATATTGTCAGTATGCGGTCAATTATTCAGAGAAATAATGTAACATTTAAGAGCACACGGAGAAAGTCAGACTGATAAAAAAAATAGAATTTGTTCGACTTTTCTCTCCTGCTCCTTTATTGTCCTGAAGTCTGAGTAATAGCGTAAGACGAGGCGAGAATCTAGTGATCGTCGTCTCGTGTGGTAAGTAGTCACCAAGGAGTGAAAGCACTTCCGGCCTTGAGGCACATTACCGCAATAAAAGGTCGCCCTCCTTCCTCCCCGATTCCCTATTTCCTCTAATTTCTACCCCATTCTTCCCCTCCTTCCCACAAATTGAAATCCGTGTCATTTCCATTTTCTTGAGCAATTTCGTACTATTTGCTGGCTCCTCTATTTGAACGGACCACATTTTTGGCTAAACACAGCGGGAACTACGTACAAAAAAAGAGAAGACGAATAAGAAGAAGAGGTCACATTTTTTCCTGCGTCTATGTATTCACGTCATTATTGACACGGCCATAAATCGCAGTATTTTTATATATTTTTTACCCTCTCAACTTTTCCCATAATGGCGAAGAGACACTGTCGCACCAGCCCAATTTTCCAAATATATATTCGAAATGACAAGGACCAACCTATTTAGTTAACTAAACCGCAAGCTGAGACTTCAAACGAGAATCTGAGCAGCAGCAGGAGGACAAAATCAGAACAAGGCGGAGAAGAGAGGAGAAAGTACTCTCATATTTCATTCCATTTGGCATTTGGGTATGTAAGGAGAGAAAGCCAGCCTTGATGATGTCCCACTCGCAGGAACCACAGCAAAGGGCCAAATAAATTCAATGTTCTATATTAAGTATGTAAATAGATGAGAAAAGGGGAAACTGATAGCAAATCTATCTCAAATTTCAGTTTCAAAGAAAGAGCTTCATCAAAAACCGATCCGTTCAGGACGCACCGAGACCTCAATGAGGATGATAAGAGCACAATGGATGGAATAAGAGATGCAAAGGTAAAAGAAATAGGAGGCACAGGTAAACGACGAGCAGAGAGGAGAGAACTTGACGTGACATTATTAACGAGCGGAATGAAATGAAGTGTAGTTATTGCGATCGATTTGTCCGTCTGTCTGTCTGTCTGTCAGCAAGATAACTCTCGATGAGTAACTATTTTATTTATGTTTTCGGATTACTACATATAATTTTAAAAAAGGGAGTTTGGTAACTGACCTTGTAGGTAAAAAGGTCACGACGCCACGGTGATGATGTCGAAGGTCAAAAATGTCGAATTTTTTGTTTTAGCCGTTTTAGACGTAGTTTGGGGCGGGGGTTTAAAAAATAACCATCATTTCAACGCACATTGACCGTGTAAGCGAGGTTAAAGGTAGAGGTGTCAAAAATATCAAATTTTCCACCTTGAGGACGCATCCCAATAAACTCCGTTTCCGTGAGTTTATTATATCTGTTCTTTGAGTTTATTATCTCAGGCAGTCCTCCTCCGCAAGGAATATTCTCAACTTGCTAGTTACATATTTCTATTTTTAATGGATGCCTCCTCCTTCCTCCTCTTGAAAACGTAGGAATATGCATTTTCGGTACTGCACGAAACCCATCATCCAACAACGAAAGCTGGTGGTGGCTTCATTATTATTATGCAACACTACTATCAGCCAGGCAACACTCATTCTTGAGACTTGACTTGAACCCAGAGAGAAGCACAAGAGGCAAAGTTAATCTACATTTTAAGTTAATTTCGCCAACTTTGCCTCATCCATCTTCATCCTCTCTTCTCCTCTTCTTCCCCACAATTGGAGAAGAAACATTTACTTTCACCCAGGTGAAACTAGGCTCAACAAAAACCAGCCAACTTAAAAACTCCTCTTGGTCAAACAGAGAGGGGAAAAGTCTGAAAGAAATACTGAAATATGCAAAAGATGGATAAACAATTTTTACTCGGAGGGGAATTTTGGTTAATAATAATATATTTTTCGTGGGAGGGTGGGTGGTTTACGGAGAAGGCAAGCTATGCAATTATGCAACCCAGTTATGTGCATCATTCACATTCAATCTTAATAATGCATTTGTGCTGTTTCTTTATTCTGAGGTTGGGATTCGGAGAGAGAGAGATGGGTTTTGTAATGGGGAGAAAGCGGTGAAAGTGGGATGAATGAAATCGTGACGTTTGGTGGGATGAATGAGCTTATGCAATCATTATGGGGTTAACTTTGTGCTCTTTGGGCACATTTCGGTAAGGATTTAAATGTATTTATGTAAGTGTGTATGTACATGCATAATCTGCACATTTATGTATGCATGCATTGAACATACAAATATTTATATAGAATAGAAGGTACAGATGCAAAAGGATGCATAAGCCACATTTAGAGCCAAATTGACCAATATGAAACCTCTGCGAGGTTTTCCTCTTCCAAGCCACCCACACTTATCAATCAGGAAATTTTTCAAATTAAGTATAATTTACTTATACATACAAGTATTTAATGAAACTTAATTGCTAATCAACGAGATACGTTCATAGTTTGGAGAATTTTTCCCAGCTATTTTACCATTATGCATACTATTTCAAAACTTGTGCAATCATTACATTCGTCTCATTGTTTTCAAAAATTATTCAAAGAAATTCAGAAGTTGTAGTGTTGTAAGTTGATTCGTGCAAACTTTGTGACGTTTTTTTCCAAGAAATTCATTCAACATCATCGTCAGATCAGAATGCACATGTATAAAAATGGTCAGTGTTATACAATATCAAACAGATTAATTTTAATTAGTATGCCTTGCATGCATGAATTTCCACTCTTTTTTGTCTCGGTTGGATTTTTCTTGATGTAAAGACGTCATCATCATGTTTTACTTTATAACAAGTGCGGAGTCACTTCTTCGTCCAACTCGAACGGCAACATTCCTGGGCACTTGTTCATCCCCATCTTTAAACATTTTACTAACAGATATTCAGCTTTATTTTGTCCTCAAAATGAATTCGAGACATATTTTCATGTCTTTCGTTGTAGTTTTGTGCCACCTCAGCAATGTGTTTTGCAAACCTATAAGAACTTCTGAAGATGTGACAACAACGCGTTCAATTGTCGACGTGGAAGAATTCGCGACAAATAATCCCCCTCAAGTTATCCATTTGTTGGGAAAGGATGAGGAATGCGAGGAAAATTCGGTGGCATCCATTGGGGTCATCTCAGCAGGAAACAGGGACGATGATATTGCCCAAGTTGAAGTAGAATTTTGGCCGGAAGGTGATAACAACAGTTATCAGCCGCTAAGTCTGGACTCGACAAAGGCTCCGGCGCCACCACGACCAGAATTATCGCACCAGAATCTTCAAGCTGACAATCTCTCGGAACAAGAAGGTGGTGAAAACCATGTGCCACCTTTTCAACCCGTCCAACCACCCAAACAACAACAACCAGAAATTTTCAAAAAAGTTATTCCAGAATATCCCGTCAAAAACAGCTTTTATGTCCCCACGCTGCAACAACTTAAAAATAACTCCATGAGGAATCCGATTCCCCAACAGGTCAACACTTTGTCCGATCTGATTTCAGAAAATGATATGATTCCACCAAAAAGTGCCGTGATCACGAGCAAAGCTTTGAACCTTTAATTTGCATTAATGTACTTGTTTTAAACTGGTTTTGTATTTAACAATTGAGTTTTTAATGTAATTGAACACTTTTTTCCAATAAATTGTGAATTTTTATTTCGAAATGAAACCCATTTTAGAATTTTGTTACTGGTCGTTTGGCATTCCACTCCTTGATTTGAGGAATGTCCAATATCTTCTTCATGTGCTGTTGCAACAGAGGATACGACGCGATCAACTCCTTGCCATGATTATCGGTCCAGATTTCGATGAAATTGGCCAAATAAAGGTCAGCCCAGGTCAAACTGTCGCCCACAGCGTAACCTTCCTTGCCACCCATTTTCTTGATGAAGTCCTCAAATCTGGGGAGATAGAAGGGAAAGTTGACCTCAACCATCTCCTTCTCGAGTATTTTCTTCTTGACGGGGTCGCTTTCTCGGATGTATGGTCTCCACACTAGTTAAAAACACACACAGTTAATGTAGGACTCAATGACTCATCATGAAAATTGTCAAAATCGACACATTTTTAATTATCTCTCGACTCTGGGAATTTATGTTAAAATTCTGGTCGACAATTTGTATCTAATAAGTTGATTAATAGAATGGCAGCGAGTTTTTAGGCCAGTTTCGATAAGTTCCAATTTTTCTGAAGGCTTCTTCAACTTGAGATCTCCTCTTTAAAAAGCTGTCAAAATCTGGAGTGTACGTTTTTAATAAATTCATAAGGCCCTATTCTACAAATTTGTCGTTCAAAGCTTTTAAATAAATTCACAGAGCCTATAAATGATTAATAATGTGCAGATTTTGGCGATGAGTCCTACATTAAATCGTAATTGTTCATAAAATTTAATGCCACTAACATAATCTCATGTCCTGAAGATTGTCGACCAACTCGTCGCACCGAGTTTTGTGCAACTCATTTGTCGGCATGAGACCATATTTTGTCGCAAGATGCCGAGATATAGCTGCGGATTGGGAAATTTCAGTCTTTTCGCCAATGACCAAAAGGGGAAGGCGACCCCATCCGATTTCTGTGACATTTATATACATATTTATTTTTATTCGTCATTTTACACAATTAAATGTCCTTACTGTATTTCACTTCAGCGTCCCAAGCTTCATCTCGTGCGATCCGTTGATCCGTAAAGGGAACACCGGCGAGTGCAAATTGCCTATTTTTTTACACCAATTAACTAATTATTTCAATCCAATTATTACTTAAATACTGAGTTTTTACCATCTTATCGGCTCGCCCAACACGCGAAAATTAAAGTATTTTAAAGTATAACTGTCTCCACCCTGTAATAAATCAGTATTCAATACTTACGAATTAATAATTTACAAAGGATCTTGAATTGATTACCAACCATTGTCGCGAATAATCTGTTGCTCCTCCAGATATGCTGTAGAGAATCTCTAGCAGCAAATGTGCGAACACATTTGGGAATTGCGGATAACATCACGCCAGGCAAAAGTAATAAATAATTGTGGTTTAAGCTATATAAGTATTTACTACACACCAACACCACTTGACTTTAATGTGTGTATGTCTGCGTATGTGTAATATCAATTACTGCATGAATGTAATCAGGTCCTCATTATGTATACAGTCACCAGTTCACTGCTGGAGTCAAGTCGTTGAAAAAATATGGCTGGAATTTTGGAGTAGTTAAGCAGTTTGGAACTACAGTTTGGAATCATATTTATTTATACAGCACGTTAAAGTTAAAGTATTTACATATGTACGTACGTAACTGATTTAATGGTCGTTGAATGTTTACTTTACAAAATGTAACCCACATTATATTATTTAGGCATCAGAGTCACATGTAAAACGGGTTATTATCAGCATCAACTCCCTGCCCTGATAGCTGGTGCATATGTAAGTAAATATGTGCATACATATTTGGTAATCCATTCTGCTGTTGTGTCGGTGAATGTGTTATGAAGTTTTGTTAATCAGAGTCTTCTTCTATTTTATTAATCTAAACATTTTACAAGGTCAAGATCAGTATCGTTGCATTGCGTGTGTAGCATATAACAAAGTATTTGCAAAAATTTGCATGGTTTGCATTTTTATGCATTAGTTTGCATGTATGGAGAGCTAAATATTCACAGTTGTAGAAGAGTTGCAAATACAAATTTTGTTGTATGATTTGATTATGAAGATGAAAAAAATAAGTAGTTTTGATCGAAACACGATTAAAAGTAGGATGAAAATGTCTCAAATAGAAATTTATTTACTCGTTTGATGGAGAAAACAAAACCTATTTTTCTGATGGAATTGGACATATTTTAACTAATTTTATATAGCTGATTAAGAAAACGGGCCGAGTTGATTTACAAAAATGCTGATTGGAGAAGATTGCGTCCTAGGAATAAGAAGAAGGGAATCTACTTCTTGTAGTAAGCAAGACCACCGTATCCGAGACCACCATAGTATCCAGAGGAGTATCCTGATAAGGGAAAATTATGAGTTGAAATATTTTCAAAATTTTGAATTTTATGAAAATTTCCAATTTACCAGTGTAAGCTGGGTAGGCAGAGTATCCGTAGTTAGAGTATCCAAGTCCGGAATATCCGAGGCCTGAATATCCGTAGGAGCCGTAGTATTGGGCGCTGGCGGCGGCAACGACGGCGGCCAAGAGGAGGACGACAAACTATAGAAAAGTTAATTAAAAAATTTAATACTTTTCAAAATACAATGTTCCCAAAAGTCCAGAAAACTGGAAACTTACAAGCTTGTTCATTTTGAAGGTTGGTTTTTGGTTTTGTTGGAGGTTGTAGGATAAAATTGTTTAGAAAAGCTGGTGATACTAACTGAGACTTTGGGGGGCTTATTTATACCAAAAATTATAACTAGGCGTCGTTTAATCGCTGTATGTAAGGCTTTGCCTGGAACAAAGGAGAGGATTCCTTTCCGAGATGAGTAGTGCGATTAAATTTAGCATGAAAAAGCGGTTTGATAGGTGGGTCGACAACTAACTAACGAACGAACGAAGACTTGATGAGTTTGCATACAAAAAAATGGCCAGGATTGCACGATCTTTAGCATCAGGTGAAGAATTGATTGACCAGAAATAAACGGTGAGTGAGGTATATTGTATTGGCCCAGTCATGATCAGATTGGAAAATTTTCATCATAATAACACAAGAGAATATAGAAACGCCTAGTCGTAAAAGCTGAACTTTGATTTCCTTGAGCAGATCAGGTTATTATTATTATTTATCTGTTTCAACCATTGGACACATTTTTCCAGTACGGCCAGCAGAGCTATATTTAATTTAAAAGTGGATTCTTACATGGCTTTTAGTACATAGATCGTGACTTTAATTTACCGATTTGCGCATCGGCTTTTTAAACCATGTACTTTGTGCATGGATGTATAGGACTTTGTGTGATGTAATTTTTGAGAAGTGTGTTCATTATTAGTCCTCTCCTATGATTTTACTTGAGTAAGTACTTTACATAGTGGTAAGAAGTAAGTAATGCATAACTGCGATGATTATTAACCCAGAAATGGTATCATGATTGAAAGATGGATAATTAAATTGGACAGCAATATTTTTATCTTTTGTGTGTAAACTTGCATTTATTTTGTATGTGTAGCTTTTTACATGGAAAGAAAAAGTCGGAAATCTATAAAATTTTTTTTAATCAGACAAGGAATTCGGCAGCCAACAGAAAATATTTCATCGCCACGAATCTAAAGCTACGGTTTTATGAAAATAAAAAGTCCCCGCATTGCGAGAGATTTTTAATATTAATAAAAATTATCCACGATCAAGAACTGTGTTCTGTTTATTGGTTTTATTATTGGCAATTGTAATACAAATTCTGTGAGAAGAACGCATTTCATTCTATTGTATCATTTCATTATTTAAAATTATATTTAATTTAAATATTTATTTATTAGAAAATAAAAACTAATCTGTATAATTTAAAACGGTTGAAAACTCCGTTGATGCAGTTTCATTTAGCAAGAGAAGAAAGGGATTCTGAAGGATGAACCTTCTTCACATGTGTTAGAAGACCCCCTTTATATGTGAATGACTTGTTGCAGTGGGGGCAGAGGCGTGGAATTTTGAGATGCACGCCGTTCATATGTTTGACCATTTCCCCCTTGGTACTGAACTTCTTGGGGCACCGAGGACAGTCGACGTCCTTTAGCTTCTGATGGACCATTTTTTTGTGGAGGAACAGAGCATGCTTGGATGACAACGCTTTGCCACATTCTTCGCAATTGAATGGTCTTGGGTTAGCGCTGTGGTTGCGCTTATGCACCTTCAAATTATTATTCTGCGTGTACTGCTTCCCACACTGGTCGCAACGAAAGCATTTTTCCTTTGTGTGGGTGAATAGGTGAACATGATAAATAGATTTCAAAGAGAACCTCTTCTGGCAAAAGAAGCACTCGTGTCTCCAATTCTGCTTCACCACGGTCTTCTCTTCTTCGGTGAGATGGATGAAGCCGTGACGGATCAGGTCTGATTCGTGGAAGAACGTCTTGTGACAACTGTGACAGCGGTGGCGTTTGGTTTTAGAACTCTGGACAAAGGATATTAATTAGTCAATAATTAGGTAGAAAGAAGTCGGGCTTTACAGGCAAGTGGAAGGCTTCCACTGGAAGCATAATGCAACCCTTTAATCTTTTACTCTTGACTAGCCACAAGTAATCCCTTATTATTTAATAGTAAATAATAATTAAATTAAATTAAATTGTTAGAATTAAATATGTAAGAAAAGATTACCATTTTTCTGTCAGAGGTGGACTTGAGTTTGGTAGAGTCGTTTAATTTCCGAATTCGCTTCCCAGTTGGCCTTGATTTTCTCTGAGCTGCAAATTGGTTCGAGACTGGCCTTGGAGGAGCGACTGGCAGTGTTGGAGTCGACGGTCTTGGTGTGGCTGGCGGTTCCGAAATTGTCGACCTTTCCTCGTCTTGAACGAAGTCTACTATTTCTGGCACTGTTGCTGTTGCGACTTTTCGTAGTTTATTACGCTGGGCACTTCTCATCTCGCAGAGGCGATATCCTCTATTCTCGTCCAGAACGTCGACAAGGTCGTCCAACGCGGTGACAAGGCTGTGAAACTTGCGGTCAATAATCCGAGCCGAAACTGGAGACCTCTCTTCGGAAATCTGCACAAAATGATAACCAGGAGGAATCAGTCAAACTTAAAAACGGAGAAAATATGAAATGAAACAGTATAATCTCACCGGTACGGCAGGGGTTTTTCGTGCGAAGGATTTTCTCTTTATTTTAACCCAATGTCTAATTTCCATTAGTGTGTCAGCCACTTTCTGGAAAAATGATAACAACAGAACCACAATAAGTACAACTACAAAATTGTTAGGGACCACCTTAAATTCACATTTCCTCACCTTTTTCTTCTCCTCGATCTCGTCCTCTTCATCCTCGTCGTCACTGCTCAAATACACCACAAATTGTTCCTCAGGTTCCGTTCTCTTTTGATGTGAATTGATTTTGCTTGTTATCGTCGAGGTCGGGGAGATGGTGTCAGCCATGACCTGGCTACTATTTCCGGCGTGAGAAGGTCCAGCGACGGATTGATCGGCATTTGACATCACGGTGCTGCTTCAAGAATTAAAATATTTTAAATTAATAAGGAGCAGAAATTTTTCAGAAATGGTTTGTGAAAAAACTGGAGTGAAGACGAAACCCAAAAATAAAAAATGGTGGCCCACAATAAAATGTGAGTCACTCTGGTCGGCGAAGTGCCACCACCAATCAGTCATTTTAATCTAAACGCCTGAAACTTGGATTTTGGCGTTCAAATCTTACACGCTTCCCGATTTCCTTATTACATTTTTGCCCTAAATTCTACGTGTATGCAGACGCTTTATGACGATGGTATTTCTGAGCCATGTTTTAATTGAAACAATTTTATTATACAGAAATTCATGAATTATTAAAAACCCACGTTTATGTACGATTTGGATGTATTCATGTATGAATTCGGTCTGGCCAGTGCAGTGGTTATACATAGATAAAAAACCATAGGTATACAACTTTGTACTACTGTATCAGTATTTATTATAATGGATTTAATTTTATTCCAGAATATATTATTGGCAATAACATATTGATTGATATAATTATGTAGATACAAAAATTGATGTATGTATGCACTATACATAGCATAGCATTAACTAATCTTAGGCTTTCTTTGGTGGTGTTGTGCAGATATGAATGGCATAATGGCTTAAGTTTTTTGCAGCAATCAAGTTATTTTGAGTTGCGTTGTTGTCGCTGTTAATTAAAAACATACATTGATTTCTATAATTAATTACATTTTACTAACAATATTATGCAAAATACGTATACATATATATGTTGATCATGACTATTTCATTTATCTCATCATGACAAGAATATTCCTGGTAGCTCACACAGTACTCGAATGAAGTATTATTCTAAAAACTAGTTACAATTTGAAGGCAAAATAATTGAGTGTATGTACGCGTGGCGCAGTGGCGTTTACGTCAATTGAAAATTGCACATCAAGATTTCTAAGAAAAAATTCTTCGCCGGCGATTTTAGCGAGTGCAAAAACATATTTGTAGCCTAGTTATGTATGCGCTTACATTTACATAGATTTACCAGAATCTATTAAGGTTTGGCTACTTTCTTTTTCTAATAATGTTATGTCAAAACAATTTAAATTAAATCAAAGGTTCTTATCTTGAAAAAAAAACTGTTAAATAAAATAGAATCTTGGCTGTACAGCTAAAAAGTATATCTTTGTATCAATTTTATTATTGATTGTTGTTTGGAGGAACGACTGAAGCTGACATGGAAGAAGACTGCAATTGTTGTGGAGGCGACGGTTTACTGTCATTCGTAGCACTCGAGGCAGCCCTATCTTCAGCGGCTTTCTGCTTTAAGTTATCAATTGATTTCTGCATTTCCTCGATGCTTCCTTTCATCTCGGAGCCGAGATGAGCCAAGTCCTTGCGTACTTCTTCAATTGAAGGTTGCTTTTCTAAACTAGAAACTCTGTCGGTCAACTCGGTCAGTTTTAAAGCTAGTGAAGTAATTGTTACGTTCAGTAGCTCTTGTTTCGAAATTAGGTCTTGCACCAGGGTGGCATTTACAGTATTAGTCAGATTGGTTTGGTTAGTCGCCGAGGGCACTTGGGATGGCGTGTCACGACCGTCTGACTTTAGTTTGCTGACTTAAATTTCAAAACAATAATAATTTCAATCAACATCAACATTGAATTTTGAAATTACTGAATCGTTGTTAAACATAATAATGACCAACCTTCAAAACTTAACGAGTCGACTTTCCTCTGAAGACTGACCATAATCGAGGTAAAAGTAGCGATAAAGATAATCATCACAATGATACAACTAAACCGAAGATATTTTGATGTCAGTGAAGATCCACTATTAGGCGATGATCGTGTATCACGGTTATCTGCTTCCTCTCCAAAACAACAGCAAATTGGGAACAAATCACTTGCCTCTGTAGTTTGAGGTCTGCTTCGATTGCTGGTGACTCTTCGTCCAGTGGATCGTTTCCTACAAAAATGCATACAAAATTAGAAATTGAATGTCTTCTTAATATATATATTCCAGGGAAATGAACACATTCCTTCAGCACCTTTTCAGTCTTTTCCGATTGTTCCCCTGCTGGAAAGTACTGCCCACCACTCTATCCGGCGACATTAATGGCGACGAGGGAACATTCTGTTTCTGCAAACGATATTGGCACGCTTCCTTATTCCCTCGAACTCTTGGACCTCCATTATGATTTCGATGTGGTACAAGGAATCCGGTATCACTATCTTCAGACGATGATGAAAGAGATGACGACAATTTTCCCCCACCATGATTATTCCCACCTCCTCCCATCATTGCAGTTGCAGGGATTTGATAGGAACTAAATGAACCACGCTTCGTCGTGGGCAAATAATTGATTGAATTTCTTTTCTTGTGATACTGCGGCTGAGGAATCATGGGCGATTCTTCTTCCTCGTTTCCTTCTTCCTCCCCCTCATTATCGTTTTGATTAGATAAATTGACTAGAGTAAAGTTACTGAGGTCGTTGTTGAAATTATGGTGATGATTATGATTATTAGTTACTGGCATTACTGGTTGCACTTGGGTCGGGATTGTGTGGTAATTTGCACCCCCAGAGAATAGATGACTGGTGGGGGTGCCATTTCCAGAACTGCTTCCTCCAATCCCATTTTGTTGATGGTTGTTAGTCGAGGGAAAGTCCATGAGGCGAATTTGTTGCACCGAGTCATGACTTGCCGGACTTCCGCCATCAGGGGCACCATTTGGTGGAGAAAGTGTGTCAATTCTAGTCGTTGGCAAGGTCGACATTCTGGGTCGTCGAATGAAGGACACGGAGGACTTGATAATTCATCCCACGAATAGGACGTCCCAAATTATATTAGTTTCCTCACGACAATTCCTGATTCGAAGTTCGTACTGTTAAATTAACTGTTAATTCATATTTTAAGAACGGTAAGTAAGATAAATTATAAGTTGACACGTATTCGGTTTTCGGTTAGAAGAATAAGATTGCATGGACGGATAAACTTAAACTATCTCTAGCTAAATTTCCTTCTACTTAATGTGGCACTTGTTTTTCTTGACTGATTGATAGAATTTTTGTAATTATTTTACAAATTAAATGTGTTTGTGAAGAAAGTACTGAGAAATTTTGAACAATAAAGTTTTAAAGGAAAGAGAAGAATGAAGAGCGACGAGATTTGTTTTCCCTTTTCTTGGAGAAAGTCAAACTTTCCACGCCCAGCAAGTCTCACTCGGGGTGAGAACGAGACCAATAAATTGCGATTCTTGCAAACTATGTATTTGGCATTTGGCAAACAAATTACATTGCAAACTTATCACATTCAATTTGTGTGTGAGAAGTTGATGCTTCATTTGCATTCCATGGATCGATATATCGATGTAGCAAAGTGAACGAAGTTGAAGTCCGAGTTGTAATGTCCTCACTTGAATGAAATATGGTGGAAAGTATTATCTTAATCTGTTTAGTGCGGATTTAGTTTAGTGCATGGAATGGAGGATGAGAGGATAACACTTGAATACAATGATTTAGTCAAACAAACAACGTAATATAAATCGAACCTTTTAATACATATTCTTTCTTGGATAAAGAAATCGATTAATCGAGAATGTAAAAGATGGTAGACAAACTAGACATAGAAAACATATAATTATACTACTTGCGTAACAAAATAAGAAAGTGGGAACTGTCGGGCTGACATGTACGATTACGAAAAAAAGATCTTGACATTTAAATGGATTTTTAGAACTATTTTAAGTTCCCATTAGTCGTCTCTCTGAATAGCAGGGCTGGAAAGATGGTTGCTTCATTGTCGTAAACTGTCAGCATTTTGAACATGATTTCTTCTAAGATGACGGTATCCACGTTTGGGTACATTATCTATAAAAACGTAATTTTTCAATACTTGCAGTTGAAACGTTTATGTCTATGTTGGCCATTTTTCTGTACCATTTCCCAACTATTTTTCCCTGACATGGAGCACAGCGGTACTTGAGCTCCATTCATATCCATTGCCAATTTAATAGCAGCCACAGCAAGAGCCTGAGGTTGATATGAAATGACAGACGGATCGTGGTGAAAGTCTTGAAGCCTAATTATAATTCAGATTATCAACCAATACCCAATCTGACAATGAGTCTCATATGATTTGTACTATTTTGTACAACATAAAACTTACAGTGACCACGCCGTTCGTGCTACGGGAGCTTTGCTGAAGCCATCGTAGCCAATCCACTCCTCCAGCGTCTTGAGATAATGGACCAAAAACTGAAATAATTCAAACAAATTGGCAACAAAGTTACTTAATGGACTGAATGAACCTCTTAATACTGTGCTAGTCAACTTACCTTGTGTGGATACACGAAATCAGTCTGGAATTTCAATACTCTCATGATTAGCAGCTCTGACTGCACTATGGCATCACGGTACGACCAATACTTGTCGTTTAAGTCGAGAGGTAACTCATTCCGGTGAATCGTGCAGTATGCAACGTTAATTACATCACGCAATTTTAAATGCTGATTTTCATGCTTTCCGGCCAAGTACAAGGAACAAGCTGCAATTAGCTAAAATCACAAAATGCGTAAAATCAGATTTATATACATAATTTGCATAACATCTCTTATTCAATTCTTACATAAATATCATATTTCTTATCATCCATTTCCTTGAAGAATCTGTGGTACAGCACTGCCGCTGTCGCAATCGTCATTGGTCTGGCGTCCATCTTGACTCCTGATTTAAAAACATGAATTACATAAAACATTATCAACTGTATGCAATATATTTATGATTCTTAATGTTTTTCTTCATACCACATTCAAATATGAATCTGGCCCCCAAAAATTGATTCTGCTGCAGTCGGTAATCAATTAAAAGTGGTTCGAGTTTAGGATTTTCCTTATTCTGCTCAGGATGATGGGAAATAATTGGAGGAGGAGGAGGATAAGCTAATGAAGACGAGTTGGTCATTCCTCTACTGTAACTTCCTGGAGGTGGTGGCACACCCACTGGGGGAGGACCGCCCGAATGGTGACGATCCATTAGATCTTCAAAAGCAAATTAATACAATAAATTTAAAAACTTTAAAATATTTCTAAAATTTAGAATTTAAATAGACAAAGAGAAAAGAAATAGTTGTTTCTGCTCTTACATTTTTATTCTTACTTATTATTCTTGTAACCTCCAAACGCCAACAGTAGCAAATTTTTCAAGCACAAGATAGCAATTAATTTAAAGAAAAATAATAATTTTAATTAATCTAATTTTGTTTAAACTTAAAACTTGCTTTCTTAAATGCCGAAAGCAGCTTGTTTGGCGTGTTGGCGCTGCATTTCGCGTGTTTCCCTTCTCTGGATTGGTTTTGATTTACAGAGCGGATGAAGAAATGGTTGCTGCATGCTTGCACGCAAAGCAAGTTAAGAAACAAAACAGTCGCCCAATTTGGTAAGTCAATTAAATTATTAATCTTCCAAAACCTTATAGAAATGTGACTCTCGGGATGAATTTTCCATTTCGATAAAAGCTTTAGCTAGTTTGATGCACTGGAAGATATAAATTTTTAGATTTTTTGGAGTGATGTAATTCCTAAATTTATCATTTTTGAAGGATCTTGTGACTTTTCTTGACTTTGGTGTGACCTTTGAAATTTGCAATTTATGTTACGTAGTCGTAATTTATTGATTGGTAATAAATTATTACAAATTTGTTTGTAGAACGAGACCCGAAAGTGGAATTACCCTGATTTGACAGCAATTTTAAGTACATTTATTATCAAAGTCGGAACTAAACTTGAAAAGTGAGCTATTAAAAATTATCTAATTCTATTTGGTATTCAAGTTCAACATGATTAATAAAATGCAAATTATTTTCAATTTCAGACTCTACTAAATTGGAAATGTCAATGATTACCGTAGAAGAACGATAAAGGGAAAACTAGTAAACTCTATTGAATTTCGTGTTTTTGGAATAACTCCTGCAACTCTATAAACAATTTCGTAAATCAAAATGTCCGAACCAAACGGTTTAAGTCGAGCATTCGTGTCGCGTATCTTGTTTGGAGGAGCGATTGGGGCCGCGATCGGAATAATGTATCTCGTTTACATTCGCCAAAAGAAGAAGGAGGATGCATCTTCAGACGCCTCTACTGTAACGTCCTCCTTGGCACGGAAGAAAAAACGAGTTTCCAGCGGAGAAAGAAACCGAGTGACATTTTCTGATCAGACAGAAATAATTGTGAAATCTCCATCGCCCCAACTTACCAAAGATGACATGGAAGCCGAGGACTTTATTCCTTTTAGAGTTAAAAATGAAGACGCACCACCGGCGCAACCTTCGCCACCGGCACAACCTTCTTCACCTCAAATTAATAAGTCGCCAACAAAGACTGAAGTCGATTCAATTCCTCCGACACAAAAATCACCGCCAAGGCCTGCGCAAGACAAGGACGATTCTGTCAATAAGGAAGTTTCTATTAAGCAGGAAGAACCCATCAAAAGTCCTGTCGTTGAGACCGTGACTTCAGAAGAAATTAAACCACAAACCTCATTACCACCATCTCAAACACTGTCAAACAGTGTCAACCATGCTGCAAACGGTCACGGTCAAAATTTAAAACAAGCCATCACGCCAGAGACGGATTATGATCGGACGGGTATTACGAGAGAATTGCAGATCAGTAGAGACCATGTTCCTGGGCTGATTGGCAAGAAGGGGACACATATTAGAGCTATTCAGGCCGATTCGAATACCATCATTACATTTAAGGATGAATGTATGGGTCAAACATCTTAATTTTTACTCTATTTTTTCAAAAACTAAAACTTGATTATCTATAATATAATTCTTATTGTTTGATCAGCTCTGGGAAATGGTGACCGAATTTGTCTAATACGTGGCCAGCCTCAAGATGTTACCGTTGCAGAATCTCTTATTGAAAAATACATAATAGAACAGCCCATCGTCACGTCACAAACAATGCATATCCCACATTCATCCGTTGGAAGAATTATTGGCAAGGGAGGAGAAAATATTCGATGTGAGTACATATTCATAGAAAAAAAATCGACTGGCTATTCTGTATTTACGTTGTCAATTGTTATTCTCTCTCCTTTGTAAATTTGTAGCAATTCAAGACTTGAGTAGGGCCAAGGTGAATGTTGATACCGGCAATCAGTTTCATAGCAGAGGTAATAGAATACACCCAAATGTTGAAAGTAACGGTTGCTTATATATAAAAACCTCAATAATCAAATTCATAGGTGGACCAGATGCTGTTCGTATGGTGCTTGTAACCCTTCGAGGAACGGAAGAACAAATTGCTAATGCGAGACAAATGATAATTGAAAAGGTCGATGAAGAACAGTCAATGCGGCGAAAAATTGATCTGATGACTCAAAGCCGGGCTCCAAGAAAGTCTGCAGGTGGCGGTTTTCCAACAACTTCCGCTAACCCCTCCGCCGCTGTTAACGGAAATCATCAATCCACAAAACAAAGCGGAGTTTTGGAAGTGTTTGTTTCATGTGCTTATCATCCTAATGATTTTTGGATTCAAGGTCTAAAATCGAATTTAGTTTTGTATTGTTTCATTTGGATTGTTTCTTACAAACATTGATGTCTCTTTCAGTTATGGGTCATGAATCGATCGATTTGGATAAGCTTACCGAGTCCATGACGGAGTGGTATTCACAATTTCCACCTGAGCCATTATTGGGGTTAAGTGCTGGTGAAATAATTGCAGCTCCTTTTGACGTGGATGGAAAAATGTGAGTATTTACAAGTATTATTTTGAATTGTTTTTTATATTTATTTTGAGTCAATGTTTTAACTTGTACAGGTATCGAGGAAAGATTATTAGTTTGGTAGACGACACGGCTGAAGTTTCCTACGTGGATTATGGAGATCGGCGAGTCATTCAGCAATCTGATATCAGGCGAATTCATCCAGAGTTTTTAAAGTTACGATTTCAAGCTATTCAAGCAACTTTAAATTTAGGGTAAGTACAAAAATATTTAGTCCACTACAACCATGACGGCTTTCTGGAAATAGTACCAAACCAAAATAAACTTTTATGTATATATGAAATAGTTGTACCACCGGCGAGAGGTGGTCCGATGATGCAATCGTAACTTTTTGTGACCTTACATTTTGTGCTCAGTGGAAGAGTTTAACTGCAAAGGTTAAAGATTACTTGAAAGGATCAAGTGATGCAAAAGAGACTGTTTTATGGGTAGAATTACTGGATAAGGTAATTATGCATACAAAATATCAAGAACTAATAATACGCACATTTTACATCTTAAAATCATCATAAATAATAAATATTATTTCCTATAGGATTTGAACATTGGGAACGAATTAATCAATCGCGGACTAGCAATGATAAACGACACACCTCAGTTAACCTATTCAGATACGACTCCCAGGAGTGGCAGTAGCGTCGCATCTAGCAATGGCAGCAAAAAGTCCTACGCCTCTGTGGCCTCGGTCGAAAGCAAAGTTTCAGATGATGGTGCAAAGGAAGGACCTTGGGATGATAACGTGAATGGCAACTAGAATCTAAACACATTTAATTTGTACATAAAAAGTTAGTTTGTTTCGCGTTTTCTTCATCGCTGCCATATTAATCATGGTGTAGGCCGTTTTTGGTTTTATAGTAAACCAAGCATTAGAATAATAATAGTGGGATTTATTTCTTCACTTTAAGTCAATCCATTACATTTAAAATAAGATCAAACGTTATCTCATTTTTTTGTAGAAGGAACCAATACATCCAACTTGTAAGTGGTGTACGTAGATATAGTAGCAATTTTTTTGTAGAATTTGGTTTGACTTGTGATTTACTAGGTTAAGTTAATCCCATCGTCGGGCAAATGTACTTATGATAACGTAAATCTTGTAAATATTGATATAATAGTAATACAGATAATTATGACAAGTGTATGCGGTGCTGCTTGAAACGTTTCTTATGCCAGTAGTTACATAGATTTCGTTCCTCGACTCTACGTGTGTAGTCTTCGATAAATATTTCGTACAATTCTAGCTGGGAATAGCTCATTTCAACTATTTGTAAGAAACGCTTGTAATTTATCGCGGTACATGGCCAGCGTCAATTGAATGAGGAACCAACCACCACAACATACATAAAATCCTACCGATCTGATTGTATACTACTATTAAGTTAGAAACAGTTTGTAATGTTCTCTAACAAAATCCCAATACATAATTTAGAATATTAACACTACATTATTAATATCAACCCAAAAGTTAGGAGATCTTGTTCTGAACTGAAAAATTCTTTAGGTATCAACCACTACTCAACTATTGTTCTATATCTACGCACACAAATTCAATAATAATATTACACAATGCCTAAAAGCCTTGTACTTCACTCCATCCTGTGTCAATCCTTTCATTGATATTCACCATTTACTAATTAGATTGGATTTTACTAATAATTAACTTTAATTGTAATGCTTAGGTTAGCTGTACAATTACGTAGTTGGACATTTAGCATCATGCACACCCGTTAAAAATTATTATGTATTTAGCTTTATCTACCTTAACGGGTTGACTTGAAAATAAACTTTTCGATAGTGTTTATTTTTGAAAATAATTCGATTTACTTGTTCAAAAATTTGCATAAAACGACATTGCATACAAAAAAGAAATGGTAAAAAGCAACTAAACTTTTGCAGGCATAGTTTGTTGCATCCTACTTTTATAGCACGGCAGTTGACGAACGTTGTCCAGAAATGCTGTAACAAATATCAAAACAATTATTACTGGACGACAAACCACTTTATTTAACGGGGCGTAATAGTTTGCTCTGGCCGCTCTATCAGCCAATACAGTCTCTCGCTCAATATTTCTCCCGTATGTTACCCCATGCATTATTTTTTGCACAGGTTTTTGATCTTGTAATTCGAAAACCGAGATTAAATGTGCACTCAAAAATGTGAGACTTGATGTATTACAACTATTGATAGTTGCGCAACAAGGGAGCATGCCCTTTAAGGAATTGATATGCTACTTTTATTTATATTAATCAATTAATCTCGAGGAAAACAAAATTTTGATGGAAATTGATATTGGTCATTTAATATAAATAAAAGTAGCATATCAATTCCTTAAAGGGCATGCTCCCTTGTTGCCCAACTATCAATAGTTGTAATTCAACAAATTTCACATTTTTGAGTGCACATTTAATCTCGGTATAAGATTGAGAAGCTCAAAAAATTGCATTTTTTCCTGATTCGTCTCAATTTGTCATATGCGTAATTTGAGTATGCGTGGTGGGAAGCCACCACCACACATACTCTTCCCACTGGAAACCACTAAAAACATAAACAATGCCAGATGATATTTGCAGTTTTTTGCAAAAAAATTCAAAATTCCCACCGAAACTTGTGAACTTTATACCCCACCGAGTTCGTCAGTTTCGCCACTATGTGATTTATGAGGATTAGAATAACATAAAATATTGTCAACTCTTAATGAGATAGAACTCACGTCTCAGTTTTGGATATGCGTCATGAAGTTGATTAATGATTTTTGGCTGGCATGCAAACAAAATGAAAATGGCGATGGCCTGCATGACGCTGAGAACATCTGGGAAAATGAGATACCAGGGCAGAGTTTCGTCCTTCTTTTTGAAGTACCACACCACCACTTCCGAGGTCAGGGCCAGGCCCATCACCACGAACAGTTTAAACCAAACGGAAAACCTTTTAGACAAAAATCGCATTTAGATATTCCAGGCATTTTACAATTTGCAATGGAGGTCTCCCAACGTATGCTCACATATTTTGACCAAATTAGTGTCAATCGATCACAAATATAATTAATTAGCGTATAAGCTCGTCTCCCGCCGGGCGAGCGTTTGTCCTATGTTTTTGACCTTTACCTGACCCACACGGTTACTGGATTGTCATAGGTCGAAACGGTTATCACCACATTCGTGTTCAGCGTTCAAAATCTAAAATTGAGATGTCTGAAGTGAAAAGATACGCGATGGAATTTGGTCATATTTAGTTGCAAATGAACTTTCGCCTGCTTTCACTTCCGTTGTGGACACACATTTCCAGCGTATAATACAGAAGATATGAAATTTGCAGAAAACGCGAACTCCCAAAGGTCACGTTTGGCAGAGATATTTGCATCCGAAGAGGAGAAAGCGCACAGTAAGCTTTAGAACCTGTAACATGTGTCAACTTTAGGCCACGTTTTCGCCTCTTTGGATGCCAACCTTGAGTATTGGCAAATAGTGCCATTTGCAAATTTCATATTAAATACATTTATGATCGATTGACACCAGTGTGGTTAAAATCTGTGAGCATACGTTGGGGGACCTCCATTCTCATTAAAGATTTTCATATCCTCACATTCGCTTATGTTTGGTCGACTTTTTCTCCGCAATTTTCGAACTTTGATTATGATTATACATGTTGAATGCTGTGAGACCAGCGAATATAACGTTAATCGCCATCAGGGTTCCGATCGGGTAGAAGAGAAAGTACGGCCTAGACTGTTCAAAAATGTAGCACGATTTGTGTCCATAGAGAGGCACGACGATCTCCGTGGCACACTCGGCACCATCGTCGCCATACAATCCGAATTCAAGGTCGAGTACGACACAAATTAAAACAGCAATGAAGGGGACGCCCCACCCGATTATCATGTACACGACAAATCTCTTCATTCCACGCGATCTCCCAACAGTATTTTGCAAATAGCTGAAATTAGCAAGTCTTTTTGTACCCAATTTAATCATCACATTGATAATTGTGTCATTGTCATTACCGAAACATTGACCATAAATCGTAATTGATCATGGTCATCCAGCAGAAGGATGCGAGGGCAAAGTAGTGATTTGCGATTCCTGATTAAAGTCGAATCAATTACTGCGTCTGACTAATTACTGAAATGGTTTGATGATTGGTTACCAATTAACATGCAACTCGTGGACGCATTATCGTCACTGTCGTACAGCCTGGACACAGCGTTGGTAATTCCTTGCAACAAGTAGAAGAGGAGCATGGCGAGGGTGTGGGAAAAGAGGGTCCAGCCGTGAACGTTCTGTTTCCCCCACAGCAAAATGTACACGATTACAGTCACGAGAAGGAATGGTGTCCCCAAAAACAGAAGAATGGAGTACAATATACCCGTGATTGCCTTAATTAGAGAGACATTCAAGCTTAATTCCACAATAAATATGTATAATGCTGATTTGCATAATAACTGACATACCTTTTTGTTGTTGGAGAAAGCAGTAGCATTATTTTTTCCTAATACGATTTCCTCCTCGTCATCGGCACAAATAAGGAGAACTTGGTCTAAGGGGTCACCACTGTAAGGGCCAACAGTGTCCAGATTTTGTACCCCGTCCAAACAGAACTGACCTGGTTGGGGGCGTTTCCACTCGCTCGCGAGAAGTTCACGAAGAACGACGCTGCCATCGACGAGGAGTCGAAATCTGGATGGAATGCATGCAGCAATTAATGGTTGCGAGATAGAAATGTTTATGCAAAGTTTGTCAGCAGTGTTTCGTTTTGAATGTCCAAAACTACTTTTGGACTTTAGGACTGGGCACCGATTAAAATCGTCAAAAACTGTCCAAAAGTGTCGAACATTGGAAAATGGGTCAAAATGTTACAAATTCTTTCTTAACGATTTTTTTGCAAATTTATGCCCAGATATGTAATCTCTCATTATTTTGAGCATTTGGAAAATCTTCTGTTCTAATGAATTTTTAGAAATGCGAAAACAAAAGAAATCTATGAATCATTTCTACCAAAATTGTGAGAAATTTAATTAAATCTTGGCATTTTCCACAATGCATTCTCCATCAAGTAGTTTTTTCACCTTAAAATATAATGAGACAATTCACCCAGTCCATTGTTACAGATAAATTTGTACACCTTTGACGTCGTAAATCCGTCTGGCAAATGTTGACAAAATAAATAAAACTCTAGGGAAAATCACAAATTATACAAATTTTCTTGCGCATGTATGTATCTTGATTTTGTAAAAATTCGTAAACTAACCTAAACCAATTTTACAATACCGGACCCCTGTTCTTCTATAATTAATTAATCATAAATTGTAACTTAAAACGCCTTTGTCTGAAAAACTTTTTTTCTAATGTTTTCTTAAGAGAAATTAAGAAATTTTCTAAACTATACACCCCAAAATGCTCAAAGTGAAGAGGAGATTACATATACACCAGCGGATTATCGAAAGATTCAATCATAAAGAACTTGTAACATTTTCCCTACTTTCTATTTTGGAGAATTTGGACGCCAAAATTCGGTGCCCAAAACTGGTTAAAACTATCTAGTTTTGGACAGCTGTTTTGGACAGTGGTTAAAACCACAGCGAAACCCTGGGTATTAGTTAAGTTTTCACTCACCTGACCCTGAATTTCTCCAAATCTCCTGGAACGGACTTGAGGAAGAAGGCTTGTGTTTGGCAGGAGGGTGGTGCTTGGTAATAGTGAAAGCGGATATTCGCCCTCTTCTCGCCACACAACTGCAAATCTTCCGTTTTGTGCACTAACGGCTCCCAAATCCTCTGGAGCGAATACTGACAAGAGTTGGACTGCATGTCGAGAACTTTGTCGGCCGAGCAGCATTTTGGAACACAGACTGCTCATCAAGACAAAATTAGAAAGTTACGAAAATGCACCAATTTGAAATATTTCTGGTATTGCGTTGGGTACCATGCGTTTTTTTACATTCGGGTCGACATATCTCGATCGTCACAGATTCTTGTGAACTCCTAGAAATATTCAGATTGAACAGATTTTTTGTACATACATTTACAATTTTTTGTAAAAATCAGTTTTACCCTAAAATGCAATATTCGTCCGGGGGGAAGAAGTCCGACCCATATCGAATAAAGCCACTCGGTGTAAAGTGCACGTTAAAGATGGACGGACGCACTTCCGGAAATGGGATTCTGACTCGCAGAATTTCTGTCGAGCAAGGTTGCAAACAGTGCGGCAGTCGTGTCGCACATTTTAACTGCAACCTTGATTCAATTAAGAATAGCTACTGATAATTGTGACGAAATAAAATTATGCAATTTTAATAGTATTTTCTTACGGAAAAGTCGCATTCTCATTATTCCCCATGATAGTGCTTGGCAAATAAATATTCTTCATTTTACCTAGTTCGTTGTATAAGCACTTATTCAACCTGAGGTTAGGATTGATAAGAGTAGGGCTATTTTGCGAAGTGGATATTGTGATCAGGGAGGAGGTCAAAATTAGTACAAATAGAAACACCGTCCAGGAGAAAGTAGCAGTAACCGTCATGATTTTAAAATTCGCTTTCCAGATTTTTTCACAGATTCACCATCACAAATTTTTTCGCATGTTCGAACGATTATTAATTCCTACAAGTTGAAATACACCCGGAAAAATTGTACGTTTTAATGTAGCTATTTGTTTATTTTTGTCGCAAACCAAGCCGGAAATTCTGCGGTTTTGATGTTGTTATTCCACACTAATTTCATTTAATTTATTTTCGAGGTCTGCTTGCCCTGTTATTTTATGGCAATAAAAAGATGCCACTTCTGCTTCTTGTTGAAAAGTAAATGTTTGTGAATCACCCGAAAATTGGGCTAAAACTGCTTCCAACGAAGCGTCAGAAAGTGAACTGAGACTGTTCACGACAGGACAGAACGTCTCATGGCGTGGTTGTGGTCGTGCTCGTGGTGTTATTATCTTATCTCGTAATAAAATCGGGATGATGTTGTTTATGTGTGGGAGAAATGTGGGGAAGGCGACTCTCTGAGAAATTTTATATGTAAAAATAAAAACATGAACGAAACACGACACAGAAGATTTAATGAACTTGCAAATCCGACACTTTTCTGAGATTCATGAATCATCACTAACTTAAATATATATATAAATTCTGAACAATTTTGTCCCTGCAATAATTGTCACGATCTCACACACACTCTCGGAATGACTTGGTGCACATCTAATCTCATCTGAATAATTGGTTACATGATATTTCATCCGTACGGATGCCTGGCGACTTTCCAAATAGGATGGGAGTTGAGTAGTCTGACCCGATTAATTAACTGGATCCAGTAACGAACACGGCAATTTGGTTCAGTACAGGAGCAAATTAAGTAGATTTGAAACACGTTACAGTACTTGTCAAAGGACTAAATTCACTTTGTTTGATGGGCTATTGTGCACATGAGTAATTGCGATTTATATAATTTCATGTCACCTCAACACGACACGCTCGGCTTGATTTGTTCGTAACAACTGTCAGGTTTTTCAGACGTGAGAGAAAGATGTTGAAAACCTATTCCAAAGTTATGTACTTTATGTGTTAATCCGACATTGTTTCATGCATGAACTAATAAAATCTAAGCAAATTTTAGCAAATGTCATACAGCCAGTAAACGAATGTCAAGGTTTCCAGCATGTCTATGTAGGGTGACCTTTACATACTGTTGCACGTTACAAGATATGAATGGCACAAAATTTATTATTACAAATACAGGTTTCTGGGTAAAATTTAATTTATTCTGCTGTGGTAATATGAATGTAGGTACGTATTGCCGAATTCGCGTTGCGGTAATAAGTAACGCCAAATTCGTTAATGGTAAAGACGAGGATTGAATTAAATACTTATGACACCAAGAAACTCGTTAGCAAACTTTTTTTTACCACATTACTGGGAAATTTCAGAATCATCATTTGTTTATATGCACTTTCTTTATATATATTGCGCACATTTGTCATAATTCCAGATAACGCGGTGCTCACTGTAATGCGGATAAAAAAACATGACCGGCGTCACACTCGATTTTTTGCAATCTAACAAATTCATGATGCATTCAATTCAATTGAGAATTTTATCATCTAGCCAGCAACCCACGCCACGACCCACCACAATGTGCATGACGTTAATCTAATATGAATCACCACATTTCTAACCACTAAAACATGTAATCATCTTAAAGTGCAGCATTGCTGGATTAGATTAGCAGCAGACTGATCAATTATGTGCAGTTTTATGAATCGGCATCTGGTCAGTTCTATCAACAAAATAGAAATTTGGGGGATGAAGTGAGTGATAAACGCCAAACCAAAAAAGTAAATGAACAGACACTAAGTTTTTACACTGTTTCACTCAAAAGTCGTTTAGCTGTTTTTATTTTATTTATTAAACATTAATCATTTCTTTTTCATCTTCTTCCTTACTTATAATTACTAACTTCGGATCGTATGGTTTATGGTAACTTTTGACTTGAGTTTCAAGTATTGGACAAAATTTAGTGGGTGAAAATATATAATCTCTTCTTTTTGGAATTAAAGCATATTTTTTATGCTGAGCTTCAAAATTGTAACTTGAATTTTGAATGATTATCATGTTACAGATTCTTGGGACGCAATAATTTAGTTGACACATTTTATTATTACTAAAATATAGTAGATATTCATATATACCTAAAGTAATCGAACTAATCTGCTAAAAAAGTGTCTATTAATTGGTACATCAATTAATTATTACTCTGTTATTTTTAATTATTAAAGGTCAGCAGTTAAATGGCACCATTAATATGGAAATATAGTTTCGGATGGCGTTTTCCCTTCTTCTTCTCATCAATATTTAGAAATATACTTTCATAATTATTAGTTACATATTTAATTTATAATTTATCAAACCGGTCTTGGGTTGTACATTTTTCTTTGTTAAATGTGTAGAGGTTAATTATTCCAATTGCAATTAAAGTTCGCAAGGTACTCGTTTGTTAATTAGGCGATTGTATGCAGTAATTATTTATGATTACGCAACTAAAATTACGTATAATTAATTACATACTTACTAATAAAATATGTAGCATATTTCGTTTCACTTCTTATGCTTTCTCCGACACTTACTTTTACATACTTTAGAAAATAAGCTACCAGGTAATAAAATCGTTGGTATTTTGAAAGTAAAGGTATATAAAAATATAATAAGTATCTTTTCGACATAAGAAATTATTAATGTCTTTTACGAAAAAAAGACAGAATAATAGGAAAACTAATGATTCCGTCCAGAAGAATGGTGATGAATGAGGCCGCCAGATTGTCGCCGAGCTTCCTGAATAAAGGGATACATCGGGATGGGGTACTTTCGCTTGGAATTGTTAAAAATACTGAACAAACTCGTCAGTATTTGCTTGTACTCTGGAGGCGATGAGGACGTGGAGACGATGGATGATGACGAATTTGAAGATGACGATGTCGCAGATCCAGCAGACGAAGTACTCAACGTTCCCGTCTCACTCGCTTCAGAACATTCGGAAATCGTATCGTCCTCATCGAAATTCGGATTTTGGCATAGCTAAAAATATTTTGGGGGTAAAGATAATAAATTTTTTAGTCCATGACCAAACTTTGTGTGCGTGTAAACAGGAGAGAAACGTGCACTTTAGCTGGGCAAAAAAGGGAGCCATAAAAAAGTTGTGTGCAAAATCTGTAAAATTTTTGCTCTTATTTCATTTCATGCAGCTTAACATGCTTGGAGGATGCAATAAGTAGACATATTGATAAGCACATTTTTACAGTCGGGTTAGGCAAGACAAACAACAAACTAAAAACTACATACACAGGCATACAAACTACTCAAGAGGAAATTTATATACAATTGATGATGATTTACATACCATTCGTTATTGGCGTTTTATATTTTTTTCTGAGATTGAAAAAAATCAGTCTTTTTGAATCTCTCGATGTACTTGTGTATTTGTGTGATGGCAATAATAATAAGTTAAGTTTTATTGGTTCTTTGAGTCAGTGCTACAACTTTCTCCCGCTGATGGGCAACGGTACTGGTGGCGTCAACCGTTGACCTTTCGACGAGAAGAAGAAGAAGAACCTGGCTGACTTTGGAGATGTCGTCGACGTCGACGTTGTCGATGAAGGGGCGACGACTTGGGGCGCGATATTATTTCTGCCCGGCAGAATCACCGCAGTCGTGAGGAAGAACATGAATTGAAACAGGAACCAAAGGCACTCAAACCCAAAGAGAATATAGGCCAACCCCCGATACTACGGAGTTCAAAGAGAACAAACAAAATATAATGTAGTAATTTACATAATTGGATTAAAGACGTTCGTATTTACACGTTAGTAAAAAAATTAAATAATTATGGATTATTAAATCGAGTATAATTGTTAAATAGCGGTTCATCGGATTAGGATTAAGTAAGAAATGATGATGCAATTTTTTGTACAGCATTTTGGTTAATTATTATTGGAAATGGTAAGATTTCATACTATAATTATTAGTTAGTAGAAGTGGAGTCATTAGTTAGTTATGGTCCCATGAAATAAAGGTTAATTATCATTCGGATTTCAGTAAATTTTCGCAATTGTAGAATAGTTCAATTATTCGAAGATGAGCCCGCCTCAACCACAATTCGCCCACCAATTATTGTTTTTTTTTATAAATCATACAATTCACCCAGGCTTAGTAAAAATTTATGACGAAACGATGCAGTTTTATTACTCTTACCAGCAAGGATGAGGGTTCCTCTTCTATGATTTTCTCTGTGAGGTCCAATTCATCCGTGACGTCCATGCTGCCCATCGTTGGTAAACATCCTTCTGCAGAGGATTTAACACCAATTTTTTCATGGCAATTATGAACAGCATCTTCATTATCGCTTTCCTCATCATCGGTTGGAATTCGTTTTGGCAGCTCAAGAAATTTGGGATTCTTCTTGACGGACGAAGTCGATCCGGACAACAGGATATTGTTGTTGGTGCCATCACTTGATTTAGGGTTAGATGACAATACTTCCGACCCCCAGGGTCCGTATGCTCTCTTCGATTTGGACGATTTGTTCTTGTTTTTAGCAAATTCTGGTTTCCTGTCTTTGATAAGACACGGATCCTCATCCATTCTTTCGTCATCATCACAACTTCCCATTTCATCCCCACTCGTTATCGAGCCGGAAGATGGGCTTATTTCTCCATCTTGGTGATTATTGTTGTTAATATTATTATTATGGCTGCCGTCTAGTACATCGAAATTATTGCTGAATCGCACTTTTGTCGGACTGTGTGCTCGAGTTGGTGTAAGTGATGAATGTCTGTTATCGCCAAAGAAAATGTTGGAAATTTCTGTGCTATCGTAATCCATTTCATCAACGTCCATGTGACCCGAGTATCCGTGGATTAGTTTGGCATTATCAACCATCATCTTCCGATGGGAATTAAAGATGGCTTCATTCCCATTTTTATGGATTGGTTCGAAACTTGTTCTCCTACTGTTCGGAGCAGTTTGCGAGTTGGAGGACGGGCTGGAAGGATGAATCATCCCATTGCTGAATTTGAACTCTTCGCTAAATCGGTTATCTCGTCGGTATGGAGTTCCCGTCGCTTTGGCGAGTTCGTGTTCTAACGAACTGAATTCCATGTCATCATCGGGATTGGCAAAGTCCCAATCGTAGAGTAAATTCCCATCGTTTTCGATAGAGTTGACCAAACTTAAAACTTGGATTTCAGCCGCACATCTTTTGCATATCGAAGAGTTGGATGATGACGTCCGATTGAAAGAGGAAAGCACCGTGGATCCAATTCCTGTACTATTTGTGACATTATTATTGGCAGGCAAATCTCCACTGGGGTTAATGTGGTCACCACGCCCAGGGGTCGAATTTGTTTCTGAGTTCCTCCTGGTGGAAGTTAGAGGCGTGGAGAATGCAGAGTTGAGGTTTGATTGAGAACCGTAAATGGAGGAATCGCGGAGAATCTGATGGAAAATAAATTTACATTGAATTTACGTTATGAAATTATGTGATTCGACAATTCCGGTACCTTTCGTAATTCAGTAACTTCTTCATCCTTCTCGTTGCTAATTTGGACAATTTGTTGCTGAAGATGTTCATTCTCCTGTTTTCGACAAGACATGAATAAATCCAAATTATTGATATTAATTACATAAATATTTCTAACAATCCTACGCATTTTTGACTTTACCTGAACTAAAATGTGAATCTGCGCTTCTAACTGACGAACTTTCTCGTTCTCCTTATTCCTCGAAGCGATCAGTTCCTCGATACGATTTTCCAAACTGTCGATAAATTCAGATTCGGAAGTTTTAAGGTCTGGGCTGTTGGAATTGCCAGAATCAAACTCATCCGGTGATGGCGTATAGTCCCTGCAGTATTCAAACAAGGAATTCTAACGTAACCAATTTTACTTAACTGGAGATTAATGGTTTAGTAAACATGCCTCAAATCTTGCAAGCTATGCGATCTTTTCCTAAACAACCCGAATCCAGAACTCATTTCTTCTTCTGAAGAATCCGATCCGAAACTGAAGTACGAGTTTCGATTCAATTTTCCTCCCCCTCCTCCGCCCGCACTTCCGCCAGATTTCTTGCCTTGATCATTCTTCAACGATTGCAGGGTGACATTTAATTCGTCACATTTCCTCTCGAGATATTCAATGTTTTCGCCAAGACTGAAAAAAAATTAAGGAAAAAAATTAATTTTCTTACGTGACAATAATTTTTAATGATTATTCTTTACATCGCAGATGGCCACTTCTTTTTTCGCGTCTTATCAACTTGGTCATTCATTCAATTCATTACGAGATGCCATTATTTATTACTTTATAAATAAAAATAGCTCAACAACTACACGTAAATCCACTCATGCATTCATTTCGATCAAAGCAGAAGTGTGTTCTTCTTAATTGAATTAAATCTGAATTGCTTATTTTTATTACGATCTATTTCCGCTATCAATTATAATCTTAATTGTTTCAGTATTAAACTAGTTTGTATTTGTATGAAAATGACTGTGGCTGCTTGTTACGGGAACCAACCATTTCATTAGATAAATTCTATGTACGTACGCATTTATTAATAAAAAAGGACGCCTTGCTCACCGTCGTCGTTTCCTGCTTAGATTTTAATATGAATGCAACAAATAAAGGATTTATTTTGCTGCTGGTTTAATTAGGTTGATGACTGAGGGGGTATTTACTATGTAGTTTTTTATTATTTCTTATTCATTGAGAATTTCGTCATATCTTTTTGTGAGAGAGGATTTGAGTATTATTTAAAAGTAGGCAATTAAATATGATTTTGGCCTATCTAAACTATGTATAATACTGAAGATGAGAACTTAACTGCAATGATTTGATTGCCAAGAAAAGTGCTATTTTGTGGGTATTTAAGCAAGAAAAAAACTTCTTCCTATATACAAATTCTTTATGCAATTGATGTGACAGCATATTTTGTGCTTGTTCTCATACACAGTAATAAAGGATAAGTTTAATTGGACAGGTTTACATACGTATGGAATAAGTTGATAAGTATTTCATAAAATAATTTCAGGAAATAAATGAATTTGACAGAATTCGACATATTTCTTATGGTCGGTGATAGCAGAATAAAATATTATGAAATATGTGTAATTACCTTTGAATCCGCTTCTTATCCACTTCGTGTTTCCTACTCAATTGAGAATTGGTTTTCTCCAGCTCGCAAATTGACGACTCCAAATTTTCGTAAATTTTCGAACGGTTAGCACTCTCTTCTTTCATGGAAATCGATTGTTTCGTAAGGAACTGGAAATGACGAGAAAATTTACTATCATTTTTTTAATAGTTATAAAATTACGAGTAATTACTAATTACCATAAAATTATGACAATTCATTATCAAACCAAATAACGTACTTTAACCAATCTGATGACAAATTTTACTAAATCCCATTATTCTATAAACTTACTTTGTGGCAGCTAAATTGTACATTTTTTGTACTTTCAACTTTTCACAATTTTTCTCCCATTGATGATATAAACTTTAGTTTTGTGACACTTTGTATCCAAACTTCGATCTTAGTATGTAAACCCAGCATAAAATTAAAAACGAGGAAAATCTGGTAAATCTGTTATCACTTTGTGAGTTTGCTTATGGTGTGGTTCAACTTCCTCTTTATTACACACACACAATATGATTAAACTGAGATCATCTGAATTTGATTCGTAATTCAACACCATTTTGCGGATAAAATTGCTATCATTTTATTTATCAGTATTGTAAAAGTACGAGACCTTGAACGGGCAGTGGTAAAGTCAACGTTTCACTTTTGCTGATTTCTCTATAAGAACTGTGTATAACTCTTTTCCTGCTGCTCTTATTTTGGATTTTGGACGAAGCCCATATTACATAGAATAAGAAGAGGCCCGTTTACATATAATGACAATAGCAGTGGCAAGGTTGTTTAGGCCAGTGCTATTTCTGTATGCCTTCTACCACTTTGGCCAGTAAGCTACTTTATGTCGAGTTCTTCCGTTTGGGTTTTCTAACCTAACCTTACAGGAAGGATGATGACGATGGGAACATTCAAAGTCGAGGGGTTTCGAGAAAAGGAAACTTTCTTACGAAAGAATAGCGTTGGATTTCGTTAAGAAGCTAAATTTTAGACCCATGATTTTATCCAGTAGCGTTGAGGTAGATAGTTTTGCGTCACAGTGTACAATGGACAGGTGCGGGTTGAGCAGGTAGAGGAAACAAAGGTCTTCCTATTGTTTCATGGGATTTACATAAGCGGGATGTCGAATACATAAAGTACGTATGAAGGAAAAGTGTACAAAAATTAGGTGAGAAATCAAGGTGGAAATCTTAAGTTCGGAAATTCCATCCAATTATTGAGACGCTAAAATATTATGGAACATTAACATACGCATATGTTGAAATATGTATAAAAATGCAGCTACCTCTTTTTTTTCATGTCATACAAATTTTCTCAACTAAATGAAAACTGCACTGCAAATGCCACACGCATTTACGTACACGTGCAATAATTTACATATTCTGCGTACAATTACTCTTGCTTACACCACCAATACATAAATAAGTCGAGTACAACAACAATTACAGAAATGTAATTCATTACGATAAGTAAATTGATAAGATATTATTAAATCCTTGCGATACATACATCATCATTTATATCACTAACGAAGAAGTACACAACTTCCAAGTCGTGTGTGAGGTGACAACTAAGTAAGAGGTGAAGGAAAAACAATTTACAGGCTGATAAATCGAGATGTAATCCACGATTAACCCTTAAGAATAATCTAGAACAAGGGAAGGAAATCCTTGTCCAATTTATGATATGATAAACATTTGCAAATAAATTCCCATCATGAACAAAAAAAAGAATAACATGCAAATCAAGAATGAAAGTATTGTGTGTGTTCCAATTTAAACCGCGTCATGAAACTCCTGTCAATGATCGATCGATCAGTTTAATTTATCAATATTATTATTTTTAAAGCATGATTTTATTCCCTAAGATTCAATTGTCCTTATGCAACCGGCCGAACGAGACTGGTCAATCATGCAACAAAAATAATTGTATAACAGAAATGCCCACCATGCAAGGCACGATTATAACCTGCTAATTACTTCCCAAACAAAATATGAGACATTTTTTGTGCACTCATGGACGTACTTATCTCACACAGTGAACTAACCAACTAATATAAGATCTACCTATTTAAATATTTGTATTTCTCAATCAAATATCCAAATTAACCCGACATCTCCAAGCTCCAAACAAGGAGAGGCTTCTTATCGCTCATAATGAGACGCATTGTTAATCAAATAACAATGAAATCACAGCCAGTCCGTCAACTATAACCGCAGTCAAGTCAAGCCACCAAATTAAGGAAGTGTGTATTTGCGTAAGCAGTGTAACATGTTGGGTCGAAGAAATGCAATAATTCATTTCTCACTCCACGTTTCTCCAAAAGGTATCATGAATGAATTTCGTAATTGACTCGCGAGAATTTCAGCGTCTTGTGCCGTGCCGAGTGGAATGCGTAACTAATCAAGCGACAAGAAGCCACGACACTTTTCACACAGCACACGTTGTTTGTACTTTGTATGCACATAATCAGATGCATACAGTTGGACAAGTGTTAAGTGATTGTCAGAGATAAATGGGCCCACGAAATAATTGACTTTTCCATGTTTGTAATGTGCCTGTACTGCCGAGTTGCATGGGATCATAATTCAATAAACCGTAGCAAACGAAATGTAGCAATAGGGTGAAACAAGTAATTCCTCCAAAAAATATGTGACCACACCCTCTGACCTCGAGGGGGTAGTCCGATTGGCCCCAAAAATTGATCGATCCTCCCCCTGGGGTCATATCTATGATACCGCAAACTGATCTCGAGTATCTCGATGCGTCCTCCCGAAAGACAGACAGACAAAGTCTTCGCTTAATAACAAATACTTTTAACTCATCGTCGTCGTCTCGTAACTTATCAAACTTTCCCATGCTTACCCAATCGAAAAGCAAAGCAAAAACAGACAACTTTGGATTTGGGAGTAAGTACGATAATTTAGCGAAAGAAAGTCTGGCTGGCTGTCGAGTGTCGATCTCGTCTGAAATCGCCCAATTCCAATGAAACCTTAAAATGCCTCTGGTCGTCATGCATGGTTTCTGATCCGAGTCGAATCTTCCACTCTGATTTAATTTCATCTCATTTCCATCAACTTTTGGATAAAATATGAATAAACATGTCAAATAAATAGAATAAAATAAAATCTACTACTTGTTTGCTCTTTATTTTTCAGACGACAATTTGCCAACGATTTATGCATACATTGTCGAATTCATGTAAAGAATCGAGAGAATCGTGATTTGATTGCAATCCAGAAGATTTCAATTTGATTTGGATCACTTTGAAGAAAGGGTGAAAATTTCATAAAATAAAATTGAGACTCGACAAGCAATCTAGAACACGATGTGAGTGAATAAAATGCGCTATCTTCGTCGTGTATATGAACACTAATTTGTAAGAACTTTGTAAGTGCACCTAAATAAATTTGTCTGTCTGCATATAGCCGCAGTTGGTTAAGGTTTCCTGTGGTGAAGACCAACATGTGAAACTTTTTGTACCGAAAGTGATACATAAATTAAGCACATTTTTGACAAAATGGTCATAAATTATTTACGAACGGAAGAAAGAAAAAACTTTTAAGAAATGCCGATGACATTTTATTCTAAAAATTGGGTGTGAAATAAATAGTAATCGAATCGGTTATGCTAATTTACTAATTTTCCCTTGTCTCATCATCACGTAACGAGAAGAACCACCCAATCAGCCAATACACACATAAATAAAGTATCAAGATCTGTCTACATACAAAATCTAGAGAGGAAATCTGATTCATTTTCATCACCTGCCAATCCCTGTAATTACAGAGCTGTGGTTTCATTCATCTTTTGTGAATTCATATGTCGTCAATTATTACTTTTCCTTTCATTTCATTTGAAATTCTCATCGTATTAATTTTCCGACAAGTTCACGATCTTTAATCCGTCCCTTCGTAATTCGACTTCTCGCATGCGTGGCGTGGGATAGAGAACAAGAGTTCCTTTGAAAAACACTCTTTACAAGAAATTCGTGGACAAGAAAGATAACAAATTGCTTGCAGGTGGTGGTAGCCATATAAGTAAAGTGAGCTTTGTTTTAGCATTTAAGTGCTGAATCCTCGCTGACTGACAATGGAGGTCTCCCAACGTATGCGCACAGATTTGGACCAAACTGGCGTCAATCTATCACAAATATAATTAGGATGAAATTTTCAAATAGAACTATCTGCCAATGCGCAGGTTTGGCGGAGATATTCTATTTGCGAATTTCATACTAATTATATTTGTGATCGATTTACGCTAGTTTGGTCCAAATCTGTGAGCATACGTTGGGAGACCTCCATTGTGAGTCAAGGGTGTGCCGAGGATTGCCATTTAATTTGCATGATTGTAACTTTATTGCAATTTGCTTTCTACTAACGAGATAACTTTTGTTTTCACTTCGCCACAATGAAACAACTCGAGTCAGTTGTGATGATCTACCGTAACATTTTGTGAATTGAATTGATTCTACTTTTTTGCAAAGGTATTGATTACTTTGACCCCCTTTTCGTAAAAATGCATCTTTATTCGCTTGCTACGATACCTTAATGCACTTTGTTCTGTGTACACTGTACTTTTTTTGCGTTATGCATGCATCTCATTCTTTGTGGTGGTGGTTGGTGGTGGTAAAGTGCCGAAACTAACCAACATTACCGATAACGCAGTTTTTCACACTGTTTTTTGCGTAATAATGAAATAATGTACGTAGAAACCATTTCGCAAAAAGTTCTTTGTTTTATTTGCTGAATATGTTGTATGTGTTTCTTTCTACTCTTTTGTTACAGTTCGGCTTAATTTCTTGGACGACCATTGCATTGGTCAATATGCTTAGGAACGAGTAGACGCCGAGACGACGCAGCATGACCTCACCCACCACGCAACGGAAATTAACGCGTCTACTGTGAACAATAAATCGTCATTTGGCCGTCTGGTCGTCTAGATGCTTAAGCACTTCTACGAGTGATTAGTTTAGTTGTCGTCTCGTAAAGCGATGGATGATAACCCCAACAAAACAAGAATCTTTTCTAAAGTCAACTTTTATGGTGTTATGTGGTCTGTTACAGTTGTTAGGAGGAGAAACTAGTTTACATGCAGTACATTTCAAATTAAACATCTCATAAATAAAGGGTTACAACATTACGCGAGCTGCTGGCTGTCAGGACACGATTGACGACGATCCATCCAAGAAGAGAACTTCCATTTCATTCAAGAATTAGCCTCCGCTGACCTATGCGACCAGCCACGGCACGATTTTCTTCATGAATAACCAATTAATAAAAGTTCACTGTTCACGATTTCATAGGAGGAATTTCCTACCACAATTTTGATCCTGATGTGATATGATATCGGCAAGATAAGTATAAGATAAGCATGCTATTCTTCTATGAAAAGATCACTAATTTCTAAAATAGGTACATACACCAGCTTGCTTTTATTCTGATAACCTGGCATCGCATAATTATACTTGGGATGAGAGATTGGGGTTGATTTGTATATTTATAATTTACAAAAAAAACACGAGTGGTTTGTTTCGTTCGGCATATGTATTTATGACCGAATAAGTGAATCCTCATACACTTATCATTTCCCGAGATCCAATTGTGTCAATAAAATAAACACGAAAAATAAATTCTAACAATACTATCTCCCCACTCAATTCGAAGAGGATTTCAACGAGAACTTTCACAAAACTTGTATCAAAATCATATAAACGAAACCTCGTGATCACTGAATTGCATTTTCGTTTTAAATTTAATTATGGAAAATTAAATACATAATAAAAAAAGAAGAAGTTTTTAAAATCTTTGAAATAAATCCGCTTATGTACTTCCGACAAGTGGGACGTTTTTCTCTCAAAATTGTCCCAAGTGTAAATAACACATCAAATATTCCGAGGTGGGCGTGGACCCCAAAAAAATAATTCATTAACACCAATTTTCAAATTGAAATTGAAGCCATCCGAGCCATAGCTAATTTTTTAGCAAGAGTTTTCCACCTACTACGTACGTACCACCCGCTATGTCTTCCAATTTGTCCCTTTTATCAGACTAAATTATAATCACGAGGAGACCGATCATCGATTGAACCGCCGCCATTGTAATCGCTTTCATTACTCATTATAGATGTTTTATTGATGGCAAATGTTAACAGCTCGATCTCCGTCAGCATCATGAATTAACTGTTTCCATTTCATTCATGACTTTAGTTCTCATTGTGTTTTCTACGAATTCTACGAATGCTAACAAACACAAAATTGTGATAGTTCATGCAGCAGGAATCAATGTGCCTACTTTTTATTACACCTCTATTAATAAAATGACGACGAAATGAGACTCCTGTGAGTGAAAAATGTTTCGGTTTTTTTTGTGTCCTACTAAATATGTATTTCTAAACTGTTCCATTTTCTTTCAGTGCCCTGCGTGCGAGCAGAATGATGATCAATTAAAATCAGTGCAGTGGCCTAATTAACACTTGGAAAACAAGTGCCTATTTATTATTGAGAGTGAGTGAGTGAGCCATAGGAATTGACGCACATATTTCTGACACTTTTGTATTTTTTACTATCTGAAGCGTGAATAAGTAAATGAATATTCGTAAAAATGAAGCGGATAAAACAATTTTCATTCTCGCTGAGCATTTATCAAGTGAGAAATCTCATCCGGTTTAATAAAGAAGACAGTCAATGTCCTTTCAACACATTTGTCATTCGAGGAGTAAAATTGAATAAATGCAAATGTAATGCACTATCAAATAGCAAGAATTGTATGTCCCAACCAACAAAGTGATAGATAGATACGACCAACTTCTTGTATTTAGCAATGTTTGCAAGTAGCTTCTTTCTTGTTTCCTTCCTCGTTATGAAAAATGTCAAGTTTTAATCTGGGAATGTTTAATCATTTGCGTACGTACGTACGTATTTGACTAACTGGTGTGAGAAAATTAAGTTAAAAGTTTATCATAATGGGTGCAGATGAGCGCAGAGTTAAGCGATGTCAATCAGGTCGGTGAGAACATTTGGAAGAAAACGCCCCTCGACTAAATGCTTGTTATGATAGGATACTGGTCATGTACATACATAAGTAATAAGATTGTTGCCTTAATAAAAATGGCATAATATGTATTGAATTGTATTGGGAAAAATCACTGAAATATTTAAAAATAATATTTATGTAAAACACGTCAAAATACGAATTTATACGAAATACGAATAATTTATAAAATAATTTATACGAATAATTTATTTATACGAAATATGTACACGCAAACATCAAATCTGCATCTGGGTTTTTTATGATCTAATTTCTTTTTGCAAAAAAGTCGTCTCACGTCGTTGAAAATTTACAAAACGTATTTTTTAAAATACCATGTAAGATTTACGTATTTTTATAATATATTTATATGTCTGAAAACCTAGAAATAGGTATGTGACAATACGTAAAAATATTTGAAATTTTTGTGATCTATTCGAGTTAAGGAACGCACCCACAAAGTTTGCCTGTCGGTCGTCATCAAATGAAAAAGTTGAAAATAAATACATATCCACCCTCTGGTCACAAGTTTACAAATTTTAGTACATAAATACGCAATACAAAAATTCGTCTGCAATGGTAAAAAAAATTGAGCGGAATTTTACTCCTGATGAAACGAAGATGGCATAATTACTCGTCTGTCATCAATAAATACAAACACATCTTCGAGGAATGCCGACAATTTGGAGGAGAGTCGAGTAGGTGACAAGCAAGTCTTAACCCCCCACCAATTCCGCTTCTTTAATTACTCCAAGACACGCACAAAACTAACGTAACCACTTATTTTATTTGCATCTCTTTGCTGTAATGACACCACAACAAATATCTCATTAACATTTCACAACACGACAAATTCAATCCAAACAGAAGGACTTGCGTACCTACTGGCAAATTGCAATGCATTGTTGTTTGTTAAATCGACATGTTTATAAATAAAATATGTACGTACTTGTCCCGTCAAACGTGTGCTTTTCCCTTGAATGTCAAACACTCAATTTATATGCAGCTTAACAACTTTAATTGAGGCTAAATCCACACTCGTACTCAAGGTTTTGGAGTGGATTAAAGAAATGAAGCATGACGACGACGACGAATCAATGTACAGCTAGAGAGATGCCTTTGTTATAAGAGGAAATTGAGGTTGGGAGATGCTGTCGAATTCTATTTTAGGTGCGACCGGACATGACATGCACCGACTACCCACCGAGTTTTGCGTATTATAATATTTTAAGTGACATGTTTTTGTTTTCTTATCCACTCGTCATTTCGCTAATAAGATAACTATTATTAAGTATGTTATGTTTGTTACAAACCTCGATTTCTTGGGCTTGATCATCAATCACGACTTGTTGCTGTTTCAGCTCAGTTTCCAGTTCCTCATTCCTCTCTAAAAGGGTCCGACCCAATTCCGCGGCGAGCTGGAGGTCTGCAAATAATAAAAATAGAAAATTGTATTTACATATCTTCAACATCTTTTTTTTAATCTGATAAGATTTTTCTGATTGCCCATCAGATTAAATTACTCGTTTTTTTTTAATGCGTGGTCACTGCCACGACCAACCAAAGCAAGAAATAAATAATAATAACATATCTTTTTGTTATGAAAAGATAGCACCAGAATTGAGAGAATTTATTAATGCGTCTTCTTCTTCCCACCAACATTCATTTTTCCTGTCACACTTTTAAAAACTAAGTTTTTTATTTTACGAAACAACTTTTCCCTTTGAAATAAACGGAGCGCATCATCTTTACAAAATGTTTTTTAACTTGGATTATTTCGGCCATTTAAACAAAATAACAATTCGTGTATTGTTGGCTACTCATTTTTTTGCCGAGTTAAAAAAGCCATGGTTGGTCAGCTTAAATGGAGTGCAGCTAAATAAAAAACCATCAATATTGTTATTATTGCTAAACCAGTGGCGTGTTTGTTGTAGGATGCAAATTATTACACCTACTTTGCATAAATATGTATGCAAATCTCATTGCGTGTTCTGGTGGGTGAAAGTGATGCACAATTCTCACCCCAGACGACAAATTGTTAACAAACCTTTAATATCGTCGAATGTGGCCTTGGCCAATTTCAGTTTGGCGAGCTGTTGCTGCTTGTTCAGCTGCTGTTGCCGGGCGGAGGGCAGTGGGGGCGGCACAGTGATCCGATAACTTCCCGGCGTATCGGGCGCATTGCTTGATGAACTTATCACCTCCATTTTAAACTTATTTTCTCAGTTTAAATTTCTCGTAGAAAACAAAAAAAACTCGACACGCACGTACACACTAATCGACTCTGAAGAAAGAAACTGTTTAATAATGATTATTGAAACGTAGAAATAAAACTACTGCAAAGGAAATGAACTGTTACTAACAATTCACCGAACTAAAAAATATTTACAAATACTAATTGATTTTTTAATTTTTGTTTTGCTTTACAAAGAATAATGGACAATGGGCTTGCTTATATAAAACAATTCTGACTTTCGTAGCAATAAACTGTGTATCTGCTTGGAAAACGTATCTAACTAACTAAAAACTAATCAACACTTTAATAATTTAGCAATCGACGTGCAAGATAAGGAAATAATTTGCACGGTGGCAAAATTACTGTAGGAATTGCATAATAATAATTTGTGCTGATGGCGTCATTCGCTTCGCTGGAAGAAGCTGGAGCGAGGAAAAATGGTACAAAATTTGCAGTACCAGCAGTAACGTTATTACAATTTATGTACTAAACTGTTTGAGTCCTACGAACTTATGAGATTAAATAGTTTGGGAGAAAATGGTTCCTAAAATTAAGGTGCTTTACTTCACGAGGTTAAAAACCCTGACTCATCGGCACTTTAAAAAGGCTACTTGAGCAGATAAATAGATGGATTGACGCACGCACGTACATGTATGTGAAGCCCCAAAAATAATAACAATGTTATATGTACGTGTGCCCTTTTAAGTAGAAAATTGTGTCCAATTACAAGGCAGACTTTTGTCCAGCAGACTTTTGAAACTAAATATATTTACTATTTTTATGCAGCAAAGCAACACTTGTGAAGACGGAAGTCAAGTCAATCCCTTTTCACTGTTCATTACAGACTGCATCTAAAACTAAAACTTGTCCCATAATGTACGATGCAGCCTTCTTTCTTTCGACAAAAAGTTGAGAAAAATGAGCACTTAAAATCTTGCTGTGGTTGTTGTTGGTGAATGGGAGGAATTATTAGTTGTATACGGCAAGTTGAGACTAATGAATGAGACGACGAGACGATGGTTGGTGATCAAGTCGAGGGTGCACCGTGCTTTACTTTGGGAGTAGTGTGTCCACATTAAATTTTTAAGTTTCATTTGCCATGTTATTATATTGTCTGAGAGATTTTAAACAAAATCATATCACGACTTTTATCACTCTTCTGACTCGACTCGGGGAAGAATTAGCAGAGATTTTGTTTCGTAGAGCTTATTAGTTCGTTTTATAGTTCACTTTTGCATGCAGCAGACAGGAAATGCAGGCATTTGTTCCATGCATTGCATAGACTCACAGCTTTATTAAAGCAAGTACTTACGTTTACATAAACGGAAAGAATTAGGAATCAGAGAATGAGGAGGAACTGTTAAAATTTTGAATAATTTGTTTACGATAAGTATTGAATATTTGAGTTGATTCTGTATAAAAGAATGTACCCGATAAGAGTCTTATTAGTCTAAATACATACTTGAATGAGACAAAGTAGTCACGCCAGGCTGTGTATTAAAATTACTAAAATGCACTTATTTTAGAAGACCAACTCTTCAAGAAACTACTGATTTCCGTCGTGCATGGTGTTTGGTGTTACTTTTGTGTGATGAAAAACTTGTGCACATGCATTTTTGTCCGTGCCACGGCTTAAATTAAAATGCGGATAAGGTTTTTAGTTTAGTTTACGAAACGTGTGTTGTATGTATGCAGTTCAGTTTGTTGCACTTTTTTACTCACTTTACTATTTACTTGAAATATGTAACACAAACCGACCTAAATTTTATTTATGGACACATTTACTTAGCCAAGATTTAAAAATAAGAAACGTTTGTAAATAATACTTCGTAGAAACAAACGTAAAAAGTTGGCGTTGGTTGCACAAACGAATTGGCACTTGGTAAAAATGATGTCTCGATGCCAATATTTATGTGAGTAACGAATGATAAGTTTTCTCGCGTAACAAGATGACAACCAAAGTCATCTCTTATCTTTGATTTTTAACCCGAAAGTGCAGCAACGGTCAGAAATCCTTTCGATTTGCGAAATTTTCCACGAGTAGCTTTTATCGCTTATCTCTCTCCGGTCCACGACTAAGCGAAACTGACGAGAAGTCGATTGATGAAATAATAGCTCAGGAAATGATGAACTCGGTTTGGGCTTTCCTAAATGAAAATTGCCATTCATGAAGGTATGTAGAGCTAGCCAATCATGAAGGGTAAGTAAGAAGAAACATAACAAAAGCTGCCGGAATGCCCATGTAGTTATGCAGCAGTATTTCAGTATTTTTCATTTACACAGATTCACACCAACATCAACCCACAACCATTAAGTTTGTGGTGTATTGTGCATATCTAGTAGTTTCTGCATAATGTTGTAATCTCATGCAAAAAATTAAATTTCCCATTGCATTCTCCACCACAAAAAATAAGTAACAATAATATAAGAGACCCAGTATATGTATTTACGTATATATAGTATCAAGGATACATTGGATATCAGTTATCATATAGTTATCATGACGGTAGATCAACTCAAAAATAATGAAACTATGCTAAAACGAAAATGTTTTACGGAAGTTGGTCCGGTGGCGAGATCATCAACGGACGGACGATCAAAAACAGATCAAAAATGTTGTGCAATAATTGCAGCAGAGAATTTAAAGGTCATCATCATTCAGAAGTTGCAGAAGGTCGTGTGAAATTGTTTACACGATTGAAACATTTAATTTTTCGTTAAAATTAAGTAGGTAGCAAAACTAGTGAGTTCCTCGTTCGAGTCGAATCCGAAGTTTTGCATTGATTAATTATTATGTACGGAGGAAATTCCAGGCAATAACTTTACCCCTTTTGTACCACACATAATCTCGAACAATTCTCATCTCCAAGTCATTCCCGACATATGCTGTTTGCCTGCGAGTCGTCACGATGACCATCATAATCATCATAATCAGTGTGGATTGTAAAACTGCCAACATCATTTCGCATTGTTACTTCAACTCCCACATTTACTCTTTTCTTGCAGCAGAAAGAAAAAGTAATTGCGACGGAACAAACTCTAATAATCCGTTGCAAACGAAATGTAGCAAAGGGGTGAACACACATGGGATATGCCTTACGTCGTCTTCCATGAACTAACGTCTAAAACGGTAGACACAAAAAATTCGACATTTTTAACTGTTGACCTTATCACCGTGGCGCGGTGACCTTTTGACCTACTACACTCATCTTCGAATTTAACTCCCCCCCCCCAAAAAAAAAAATTAGAAACACGTTGGTGAAAGCCGCATCTCGAAATTCGAACCCGTTCTAAAGTCATCGTGGATACAGACAGACGGAGAGACGGACAAGACATTCCCATAAAGGGGGATGCACCCCTTAATAAATCCAGCCGTATTGGATATACGCCACATTAAATGCACATGTACATACGTTTCATCACAAGACCAACCATAATTAAGGTTTTGCTCTGGCTGACGATGGAGAATTTTGCGGTATACCAACATCAGAATTGGCAGTTGGGTAAAAAATCGCGTACATAATTGGTACAGACTTTGACCAAACCAAGGGTAAAATTGGTAGGGCAAAAACCGTTCGTGATGAAGCGATGATTAATGAATCTTCCAGAACGATGGTCATTTTTACTCGAAAAATTTCAGAATTCTTTTATACGCACGGAAAAGCTTAATTTGTTTCTTATTATTACTCAACAAATTCGCCATAAAGAGATCGCTTCTGTTATTGCGATAGGCAGGTACCTTTCGGTCACTGCCTTGTTCCTTATTACTATTACGCTAAATTTTTAATTCATACGTAATGTGCACTCTTGTCTCGTTTTTTTCATTTATTTATGAATGGAACTATTTATATTTAAAATTGCAATTAAACTTGGCCAAGTTTAATAACTGACTTGCATTAGCTTGCATTCATTATTCAGACCCATTAGCCACAATTATTATGGTAACGTAACGGTTTTATAAATATAAATCAGGTGTACTTCCTATCCCCATTAAATCTCTGTGTATACATGCATTTTCATAATGTGGCGAGCAAAATTATCCCTTTATTACAATATTTGCCTACTACACACCTCAACTAGTAATTCGTGCAATAAAAGAGACCAAATCAGCAAATAATTTCTCGTCGAGATTATTATTACCCCAATTTATAAAACAAATTTGGTTCAAGCAATAAAACAAATTAAAGTGATTAACTCTTTTACAACTTCAATTTGTGGAATGGTCAATAAAATGTTGCAAGCCGGGTGACCTTTGACATTTGAGTGTAACCTCAAATATTCGTGAATTTACGTCACTTTAGGAAAAAAGAAAGAAACGCCTAAAATTCCCACAACCTTTACCGCAAATTCTGCCAAAGTCCCGTAAACGATTTAATCGCAAACTACATACTTAAATCTACGAACCTGGTTGATGCGTGTACATATGTATGATATTGCATGTATTGTTGTGGTCATAACAAAGCATATGCAAATCAAGGCAGGAAGAGAGACTGAGAAAGAAACCAGTATTTTCTGTCCGGCAATAAAGTATGCAAAGTGCTGTTAATACAATACAATTAAATTGATAATTATGCATGAGTTCAGCAATTATCACTCGAAAGAAGTGGCTGGCTGCGTGTGTGAGTACGCATTTTGCAGTGATATTCATCCCCCCTGAGATAACCACTTAGGTTAATTAGGCACACTTTTCCTTTAATAAATAGAATAGTGCTGCAAATTGTTGTGTTTTCTCCGATTAAAAAATGGAAATTACTTACGCACATCCCTCCAATCCAACCCACCTGATGTCCCATTTAGCATTTAACATTTAAATAAATTCAATGTCAGAGAAGGATATTCACACTTGGTTCCACACTCGAACATATTTAAATCACGAGTCATCTTTACTTTCATTAACCATTATAAAAGAAGCCTCTCGCTGATGAGGAGTGGGATGCATCGAATCGAATCTGTGGGAAAAATCAGTCTGCCATGAAGAAAGACATGGCGTTTTCTAGACGCCTAGTAGAAAACAGGCACAATTACAAAAAGCCTGCTGCCTGCCTGCATAGAGAAAATATGTAGGAATCTTGTTATTTTGGTCGGATGGGATGGGATTTGTCTCCTCACGTAGAAAAAAAATCCTTTACATAAACCACGCCAGAAAAAAATGTTGGGATGTTTTATTTTACTAAAATATTTCTTAAAATTCCTCTCAGAGTAGGAACGAATTAAATCATAATTAATTTAATTTTGCAAGAAAAATTTGATAATTGCGCAATGTCACACAAACACGCACGCAAATAAATCAATTAAGCATTGATCTGAAATATTGCTCACTCATAATTTTTAAATGCGCGGACCTCATTTAATTATTAGCAGCTTACTTTCTTTCTTGCATAATCACACCAGCCAGCATTTCATTTTAATTTGATGAATACAAAATTCTCAGCGGCTCACGTACATACGTTCAAGACGTGTACTATACATACACATCTCTGATTCTTCTGCAATGATGAATTAGCAAATTTTGACACCTCCTTAGTCTAAGCACCAATACAATAAAATAAAAGGAGCTTTAATGCATAGAAAAAGAGTCGTAAAAACTTGACGCAACGAGAGAGAAGCTCATCTTCTTCAATTTGTATCCAATAATGATGATGAATACGGTTTTGTTTAAGCAAAATCCAGCCATGCAGGAATAAGCAAGCAAGGTTTCTTCTTCTTCTTGGTTGTAAAAAGAAACGTTTATTTTTTTCTCGGTACGGTGACTTGAAGTAATTTGATTGTTGTTTTAGTACTCTTCCAGTCATCTACTCCTCCACGGTTTGTCTTTCAAACCAAGGTTATACTTAAAACGTATGGGATGGATGGGATATGTATCAAATGATGAAATGGCATGTGATGGCACCGCACCGACAAAAAATCAGTGGAGCGATATATCTATGCATTCACTACTTTAGTAGAGTTGGATACGACGATTTTTACTTTTTTTATTCGGTCAGAATGAAAATGCTCTCTTATCATGAAAGTAAAATGTGTCGATGTATCCGAATGATCATGAGGAGTGAAATATGTAAGCAATATTAAATAACCCGAAGATTTTTCATGGACCAAATAATTAATCAGGAAAATTACATATTTGTAAGTCAATGACGTCCTTATTGATATAATTTCAAATAAATAAATATATATTCATGTTGAAGATTCGTGGTGGGCAATTGTTCCGATGTGCAACATATTTTCACTCAGAGACTAGAACAAAGTTTTGCTTCAATTGTTCAGAAAATGTGTTGTGCTGCGGTTTTTATCTGCATCCGTTTGGAATTTATGGTTTATGGCAAAAAAAACTACTCCAACTAACTAACTGCAGGTGGCAGGCCACAGTAACAACTGTTCAAGACATGACCGTGACATTTTGATGGGAATGCAAGCTGTGTAGCTGATGTACCAAGTTTAGCCGATGATCAGTGACGATGGATGGATGGATGGAAAACAATTTTTTTTCTAAAAATATACAAATATATTTGTTCGGGTAGTCAGTAGATAAACTATATTTTGCTCAATTATTATAGGTTAAGTACCAATTTTCCGATGATGAAATCCCAGTGATCATCGATAACAAGAGAGGGGCCAATTATTATCACATGCAGTTATCCTCCCCAAATTTCAACAAGTTTTTCTATTGTTTATGTGCGATCACATCGTAAATTGTACAATTTCTTGGTACAACCTTACCTCCACCTCCTCTTAAAAGTATGCATTATCTGTATGAATTCGTGTAACTCTGGTCTGGTTAACAAGGCCATAATAACAACAATACTTCACCCTTCATCACATCATGTCAAGTGACACGATTTGGTAAAGTGGAAACTTTTCAATTTCAGATTTCTGTATTTTTCTCGCAATAAAGTGTCAAAAACATTTTATTACTTGTAAAATAAGAACCCACAAAAATCTTATTAGTTATAGTTTGCCTAAATCGTAATAAGGACGACGACAATAATTATTGCGGAATAAATTGAATTCAATTGACACGTCGTCGTCGGAATTAAAAAGCTTTAGAGAAAAATTTTATGATTCTTCGTT